CAGACCTCACAGACCTAAAAAGCAATGAGAGAGAGAGAGAGAGCATGCGGACTAGCAAGATGGCGCCGTGTCAAGGCGCCGCAGTGAACGCTCTGCGCACAATCTGTGTTTTGTTGTTTTTCGTCTGGGATTCACTTGCCACAGTGAAATATGATCGGCAAACACTTCTGTACATTCGGGACCACGCGTGTGACGGGTCACTTGTTTTACCTGAACTGAGGTGCACAAACTTCCTCGAGTGTCCCACTCGAGAGGCTGGTGGAGCACGGCAGGCGGGCCGCGGCGGTGGCCGCCAACAGAGCGAGGGGACTGGGCGTCTCCGGCGTTCTCTCCACGGTGTGGAGCTGGGCACCTCGAGTCGGCGAAGGAGGCGCAGACACCGGGGAAGGCGAGGCGGTCTGCTCGTTCGTAGCCGCTCCTCCAGGACCCCTTTGCCCTCCATCTACCTGGCCAACGTCCAGTCTCTGCCCAACAAGACGGACGAGCTCCTGTGTCGGGTCCAGAGCCAGCGCGAGGCCCGGGACTGTGTTCTGTCTCAGCGAGACGTGGCTCCACTCGAACGTCCCGGACTCTGCTGTTCAGCCCCCGGGATTCACCGCTCACCGCTCGGACAGAGTGAAGGAGACCACGGGCAAGGCCAGAGGCGGAGGTGTGTGCTTTTTAATTAATCAGCGCTGGTGCACGGACACTCGAGTCGTGAACCAAACATGTACTGCCAATCTGGAATGCCTGGTCTTGAGCTGCCGCCCTTTTTATCTTCCCCGTGATTTTTCAGTGATATTTTTATGTGCTGTTTACATTCACCCACGGGCGGATTACAAAGTAGCCCTACAGGATCTGAGCCAGATCCTTCACAAACATGAGTCTGCTCATCCTAACGCAGTCATCATTGTTGCTGGGATTTCAATAAATGTAATTTAAAGACTGTACTCCCGAACTTTTACCAACATGTGACTCAAGCTACAAGAGGAGCACATGTTCTGGATCACTGCTACAGTAACGTGAAGGGAGCTTACAGGTCCAGTCTCAGACCTCCTTTTGGAACGTCTGACCACTCCTCTGTTCTCCTTCTTCCTTCGTATACTCAGAGGAGCAGGGAACATAAACCAACCTCTCGCACTGTGCAGTGTTGGTCTGAGGAGGCTAGCATGAAGCTACAAGGTTGTTTTGATGCTACGGACTGGTCTGTGTTTCAGTCAGAGGACGTCAATGAATTCTGTGACGCTGTGTCTGGATACATACGCTTCTGTATTGACTGCTGTGTCCCACAGAAGGTCATTAAAGAACATTTTAGTCAAAACCCTTGGATGAACGCGGAAGTGAAACTGAAACTTCATGAGCGTGCGTTGGCGTTTCAATCAAATGATACAGTTGCCTATAAGCTATCCTGTTACTCATGGAAACGTTCTATTAAATCTGCAAAGCGCAGTTACGGGGACAGGTTAAAGAGTTATTTTGAGGAAGATGACCCTCGGCGCATGTGGAATGGTATTAAAGCCATCACATCGTGGAAACCTAGCGCTGGGAAAACTGCATCTGTCGGCCAAGCTCTGCCAAACGAGCTGAACACGTTCTACTGTTGCTTTGAATCCGCTGATGCCTGTCCTACTGTATTCCCTGAGTGTTTCAATCAAGGTACCTTCACCGTGACTCAGGAGGAAGTCAGGCGTGTCTTGTCCAGGACCATAGTCCGGAAAGCCCCTGGCCCGGACGGCATCCCTCCTCGTGTCCTGAAACTGTGCTCTGAGCAACTTGCTCCTGTGCTAACAGACATTTTCAACCTGTCGCTAAGGAACTGTACTGTGCCGAACTGCTTTAAAGAGTCCACCATCATTCCAGTTCCTAAGAAAACTCCTGTGACATGCCTGAATGACTATCGTCCTGTGGCTCTCACGTCTGTTCTTATGAAAACTTTAGAGCGGCTTGTGCTGGACTTCATTAAGAGGCAGATCCCTGTGAGTGTTGACCCGCTCCAGTTTGTTACAGACAGAACAGGAGTGTGGAGGATGCATCTCCTTTGCTCTGAACTCTGTCTACAGTCACTTGGACACTAGTAAATCTGTGGCCAGAATGCTTTTCATCGATTATAGCTCTGCTTTTAACTGCCTTGTCCCAGGTAAACTGATTGAAAAGCTCATGTCTCTTGGTTTAAGTGTTGCCATGTGTAAATGGATTTTTAGCTTTTTAACTGACAGATCTCAGAGAGTGAAAATCAATGAGTGTTTTTCTGATGTTGTTTCTGTGAGCACTGGTTCTCCTCAGGGATGTATTTTGAGTCCTTTGCTTTTTACTTTGTACACTCACGATTGTGTGTCCTCCTCTGACTCAAACTTGATCATCAAATATGCTGATGACACCACCATCATCGGTCTCATCAGTGACACTGATGAATCCTCTTATAGAGCAGAGATACAAAATGTGCTTCAGTGGAGTCAAACTAACAACCTCCAGTTGAACGCATCCAAAACATGTGAACTGGTCTACGACTTCAGTCACAATAGTTCTCATTTGCCTGTCGTAATCGACAACTCCCAGGTGCAGATCGTAGAGGAGCAAGTTTCTGGGTTTAACTCTGTCTAACCTGAAATGGGTTAAAAACACTGACCGAGTCGTTAAGAAAGCTCGTCAGCGTCTCTACTTTCTGCGTAAACTTAGAGAATTTACCACTAACTCTAAGATTGTGCTTAACTTTTATGGCTGCACCATTGAGAGTTTACTTGTTGGTTCTGTGTCTGTGTGGTTTGGAAACATCACAGATAAAGAAAAGAGAGCTTTAAACAAGGTGCTCCGCTCTGCAAAGAGGACCGTGGGCTGTGAGACCAGAGAGAGACCAGAGAGAGACCAGAGAGAGACCGTGGGCTGTGAGCTTCCTGTTCTGGAGGTTCTTTATAAATCCAGACTTTTAAACAAAGCTCTTAGGATTGTTAATGACTCTTCTGGCCACCCTGGGAAAGCCATGTTCCAGCTTCTTCCCTCTGGCAGAAGATATCGCTCTCTGAGATGCAGGACATCTCGTTACGCTAACAGTTTTTATCCACAAGCTGTGATCAGTGTGAACAGAGCACTTTAATGATTTGCACTTGTTTTGAAACTGTTTTAGTCGATCCATTTCACAGTGACAATTTGTTTACTGTTTTATTTGTTTTATTTCTGTCTTTTATTGTCTGTATTTGTCTGTGCACACTGGAGACTTTTGCTAATGTATTCCAATGTGGTGTTTTTACTGCAAATGGCAAATAAACTGAATCTGAAGCATTTTGGGAATATCAAACAAAAACAAATTTCAAGTCCCAAACAAAGACTTTCCTCAGAGCGTTTTGAAGCAGAAGAGAAGATCAACTTCCTCTAACCCTCAAACTAGAGACAGATTATCTTGAATTATCATTAAGAAATATAGTATTTGTTTGACTGTAGAACTCCTCGATCAACCACTGTTCTTCCTCATGAGCCGAAGAGCAAAAAGCTTCTCTTTCACATGTGACTACAGCATCATCAGTCTCAGTATCACTTCGACACAATGGTGTGAAGTGTTCTATCAGACTGGATTTAAAACAGATGTTCAGTGTTGCAGTGCACATTACACTGTGATTAATAGAGAATGTGTCAACTCGATGAAACTATAAACTACACACAGGAAGAAGCACTGAAGTGCATTTGCCATCAGCAGCTGAAGTGAAGGCTAGTGTAACATAGATTTTTGTATTTACTTATTTACATTTGGGTAATATTATTTGAGTATATTAGTTCATGATTTTCTGTTATTGATTAATATTGTTTTATTATCATTTGTTTCAACACTGTCAGCGAGAGAGAGAGGAGAGAGAGCGCGCCCCCGTGTGCGCGTGAGACGGAGTAGAAAATAAACCGAAGAGCTGAACTTTTACTGTCCTGCCGTTTGGTTATTTTAGCAAGGAAAACTTCGAGATAGAACACTGTTTTTTTATTATAAAATTGTAACCCGCACACCCACAGCCTCAAGAACTGGTGAGCAACAAGAAAACAGGGTTACACTAGTTATAACTACACATAATCTGCAGTTTAAGGGAGATAAAACATAGTAAATGATTAATATTAGAGAAAGACATGACAAATAGTCAGATTAGCACACATTACAGATAAATTATATATTAATCCTATTGTACGGACTTCAGAGTCTATAAGACCAGGAGCATTACACAAAAGCACACACTGTATCTACAAATCAATAGGATTGAGAAAGCGACATTAAGTCCTGCATTCAGAGAAAACTAAAGTATAAACAGGTGATTTAGGAGACAGATGTGAACGCTCACCTTAAACAGGCTTAATGTGAAAGGCACTGCTCAGGCTCCCAGTGGCTGTACAAACAGAACCTTTTAACACCCGGATACGTCCTCGCAATAGGAGAAAAGGCACATTCATGTTTGTTGTTCGCTGTTTTTATCGAGTCGAGCAGACATCACATGAGCTGCGAACGTCTGAGAATATAACAGATGTATAAACACACGGATGTAGTCTGTGGGTACATCCAAATATATACAACGTACCTCCTTTCTGGATACTCCTTCTCCTTTTACAGACCTTGATAAGATTATCTCTGGCTTAGATTGCATTTAAAGTTAATAAAAGTATCTTGTACTTTATCGGAGCAAATAAGGAGCTACTTTGTCAGATAGAGAAATCTTTAACGATAAAGAAGTCAGTGTATGACAGATTTGGACGCAACCGCGACTCAGCAGTGTTTGAGGAAGTGACGTAAGCCTTTGACCTTAACCGGTTTTGTTATGATCTGTAATAGATCCTTTTAATTATTTTGCCACATGTTAAACCCAATTTCATTTATTACATACATTTATTTTGTTTTTATATTTTGCTGACGACACAGAAGCGGTTCCGTCTCTCTCTGTTGTTATGGTAACGGCTCTACTTCCTGTTGTCCACAAGCAGCTGCAGAAAATAGCCATAATTAATGTGACACAAGTTTGTTAGTATCTCGAAATAGTTAATATAACACCGCAATCATGGCTCATTATAGAGTAAGTCTGTTACTGTGTGAACGTCATGTCTGTCCTCTTCGCGCTGACGTTGCCATGTGCCGTAATAAAGCTGTTAGCTTCGTTTGCAGCTATCGTGGAGTCGGTGTCACTGAATAATGGCGCTGAAATGTGTAACTTTTATATTTTTCTATTACATTTATTGTAGACTTCAAACGAGTCCAAGAGGGAACAGTTCAGGAGATATCTTGAAAAATCTGGGATCCTTGACACTTTGACCAGTGGTGAGTGAAATACATCATTGTTCTGTTTGTTCTGTTAATAATGTTATTATGTTCCAGTTCTGGTGGCTCTGTATGAGGAGAATGATAAACCCAACAATGCTCTGGAGTATCCTTCCCTTTGACTTGAATGTTGTTTTCTATATTACTTTATACAAGGACACAATTATAAAACTACCAGAACTCCCAGAGCCGTCATTTGGGCTGCTCCCATTTTAAACCAATGCAATTCTGAGACTTCAATTCAATTCAACTTTATTACGGACTCAAGGTCCAAAAAAGACAGCGACATCACAAACAACATTAAACTACAAACAAATAAATTACACAGTCCCTTTAAAAAGACAGCTATACCAGTGCCTCCACATTAGCGACTGATAGCGAGTGGCACTACAGGTGACATCAACCAATGAACCAATGACTGTATTAACAGACTTATTCAAACGGCAGATGAAACGGTACATAAGCGTCCGTGGCTTGCAGCGTGTTTATTCCAGCAGTGACAAACATCTCACTCGCACTGGTCCATCTCGGCCTCCTGAGAAGCACACGCAGAGCGTCGTTATAAGTCACCTGCAACCTTTGGAAAGTTCCTTTTTTATAGTTGGACCAAAGGTGCGCTGTGTACAGAGGTGTACAATATGATTTGAACAACATCATTTTCACTTTGTCCGTACAAAAGCCAAATTTACGCGCCAGCGTGTTTGCCTGGGCATACAACGTTCTACATCTACTGTTTATGTCAGCATCATCAGACAAGTCTTCTGTCAATATATGCCCAAGATATTTTATTTTGTTTGCAACATGAAGCCTTGCATTAGACAAATAAAAATCAGGATATGATGTCTTCTTATCCTCCTTGGCTCTACAGATCATAACCAAACTTTTCACTGCATTATATTTAATGTCATGCTCCAGGCCATAGAACAAATGTTAAGTAACTGTTGCAGCCCAGCAGTGCTTGGACTGAACACAACAAGATCATCTGCATACAACAAATGATTTAACACAAGGTTACCAGCTATACATCCAGTAGTACAAGCCTTAAGTCTTGTAGACAGATCATCCAGATATAAGTTAAAGAGAATCGGGGATAGTATGCCCCCCTGTCTGACCCCATTGCTGACCTTAAATGGAGCAGACACACTGTTCCCCCACTTAACCTGCATCTTTTGCTGAGCATACCAGTAGATCAAGATCCGCACAATGAATTTGGGAACACCTTTCTGAATTAGTTTAATAAATAATTTCCTGTGGTTAACTCTGTCAAAAGCCTTAGAGGCATCTAAAAACACATAAAAACTGAGGAGTTTTGACCCTTATATTTAGCAATAATTTCTTTGAGGGCATATATACACATGTCTGTTTCACCAGATGTATTAAAGGTAAGAGTAGCTAGAATATGCTCTTCTCTGGTGGCAGTCCAGGACCGGTCCAGGACCAGTACCATTAACTGCCATAGATAGAAAGTATCCTAAAATGGCTACTTTTGAATTTTACAGTTAAATTAATGAAGTTAAATGTAGAACGTTATATAATTCCATTAAAAATAATAACAAAGAAATAAACTACTTATAGGAGCAGAAAAGTCAGTTTTTGGACCAAACTAGTCCTAGCTGACTCACTGCTCTGTTCTAGTGTTAACATGCTAATGCTGTGATTACATTATGGCCAACTTCCATCCCCATGGTTTTGTGTGTTATTTGTTTAAAGTACCAACATTTTCAATGTCCAGCAGTTGTCCTTAACCTCTGTAAAGTTTTATAAAGCTTCACTTGGGAGCAGCAGGTCCAGAACCAGCGGACACCGAGGCTTTGAGGATGGAGCTGTCGGATTTACAACAGAAGTTCAATCTGTTGATGGAGGAAAACAAGGAGCTCAGGAACAAGGTACAGAAGGGTGTCTGCAGTTTTATGTAAAAGAATGGTCATTTGTAAGTTACTTTATTAGCATGAATTCTCTTTGACTAAATGTCTAACTATTGTGTAATATGAGTAAATATGACTTTGTCCATACTCGACCTGCAGCACCTACTGTTGTGTAATCGACTTCAGCTTTTAAATTTCTGATCCCAATCAAACTCGATTGTTGACGACTCTTGGTCCCGTGAGGTCTGTCTCATGACTTCATTATTGTTAGAGAATAGAACTTGGTTGGACTCATTCATTAATCTGTGCCAGACCAGACTGAACACGCTGCAGAGGTTTGTGCTAAAAGTTTCCAATCATCAACAACAAAGATACTGTGGTGCATCTGAGTGACGGATCATTTTAGTTTGTTCATTTCTCTTGGACTGAACCAAAGACTAATCCAAGGATGTTGTTTTTGTGTCACAGCTGATGCAGTACGAGCCGGCGCCTGACGAGGGCGCTGCTGAGTAAAGGAGGAAGGTGTGATGGAGAGAAAAAATTGTAATATTTTCATGTTTATTTCATAATTATGTTTATACAGTGAATACAGAGCCACTGGTTGTTTTGTTACTTAATGATGCTTCATCCGCCTCAAAATAAACACGTTTTCAGCAGTTTGCACAAACCAGACGTTTTATGAACACATTTCAGACCAGTAAAAAGGACTTTTCCTAGATAGTTTTACAATCGTACAAAGTGGTTTTGCCTAAACAAATGTAACTTTTATAAAAAGATTTCCTACATGAGCTTTCATGTTTCCTTTGTGTCAAGAAAAGCCATGTCCTAGTGCTTTGTTACGTAACCAGTCACATGTATTGATCAATTTGTCCCTGTTCCATCAATCTTCTCTGTCCCTCCCCGTGACCTGCTGCCGGAACCAGAAACGTCAGGAAATGCATAATGGCACTTTCCATATTGATTTAATAAGGCTCATAAGAAAGTCTGTCTGCTCTTTACCAGTTCAATAAGTCTGTTTGGATCTAATTACATGAAATGTACTGGCCCAAAGGGCTTTGAAAAATACCACGCTTTACCCTTGTATTCCCGTCTGCTGCGTTTATCTGCAGATCTGTAGGAGCTCGTCTGTGTTTATATCTGCAGATCTGTAGGAGCTCGTCTGTGTTTATATCTGCAGATCTGTAGGAGCTCGTCTGTGTTTATATCTGCAGATCTGTAGGAGCTCGTCTGTGTTTATATCTGCAGATCTGTAGGAGCTCGTCTGTGTGTTTATCTGCAGATCTGTAGGAGCTCGTCTGTGTTTATATCTGCAGATCTGTAGGAGCTCGTCTGTGTTTATATCTGCAGATCTGTAGGAGCTCGTCTGTGTTTATATCTGCAGATCTGCAGGAGCTCGTCTGTGTTTATATCTGCAGATCTGTAGGAACTCGTCTGCGTTTATCTGCAGATCTGTAGGAGCTCGTCTGCGTTTATATCTGCAGGAGCTCGTCTGTGTTTATATCTGCAGATCTGTAGGAGCTCGTCTGTGTTTATATCTGCAGATCTGTAGGAGCTCGTCTGTGTTTATATCTGCAGGAGCTCGTCTGCGTTTATCTGCAGATCTGTAGGAGCTCGTCTGCGTTTATATCTGCAGGAGCTCGTCTGCGTTTATCTGCAGATCTGCAGGAGCTCGTCTGTGTTTATATCTGCAGATCTGTAGGAGCTCGTCTGTGTTTATATCTGCAGATCTGCAGGAGCTCGTCTGTGTTTATATCTGCAGATCTGTAGGAGCTCGTCTGTGTTTATATCTGCAGATCTGTAGGAGCTCGTCTGTGTTTATATCTGCAGATCTGTAGGAGCTCGTCTGCTGCTTGCACTGCTCGTTCCGGACACCCTTCTGTTTGGAGATGAGGCCGTGGGGCTGTTACTCTCTCTTGAATGTCTGGAAACTGAACTCATCTCTCCGGCTGAATCTGGACTTTGGGACCTGCTCTGAGACCTTTTTCTGGTCTCTGATTTAGACAGGAGTCTGGCTCTTGGTCCCACACTTCTTAACTTCATACTGCTGTTTCCATGATAAGAATCCCCACTGTCTGAACCTGTCCCTTCAGTCACGGTGGAGCAATGCCACGGAGGGCTGACTCTGTGGGCTTTCCTTAGCAGACCTGTTGGTGCCTCTGTTACTGGAAGAGTAGGGTATTCTGACCTGGGACAGTCCATGTTCTCATGTTGGGAGGAGGACCCTTCCTCTGGATCATCTGCTTTGTCACCAGAAGGGGATCTGGTCTCACTGCTTGTGTTATTGGAGTTGCTATTCTGCTCAGTTGGACTTGGGACAGCATCTTTGCCCTCTTGGTGGATATCAAGCTTTACACCAGTGTCTCCTTGGATCGGCACAAAAGCAGACGAGCCGCTCAGGAGAGGGTAGTTTGGCCCGTTGCCTTGCTTCTCTAGAAATAGAGTGTACCCGCTGGGGGCTGTGGGGATGGTGGACTTGCGCCCCACAGATGTCCCAGTGCAAACCTGATGCACCACAGAGTTCTTCATTGACCTACTGTCGTAGTGATCATCCAAATCGTCCTTTAGATGAGGATAGAAGTCCAAAATGATCTTCTTGACCCGTTTGTAACCCAAGTGAATGATCTCGAGGAGGCTTAAAAACAATGAAATGCATGCGATAACTTGCATGAACATCATAAAAACAGTCTTCTCAGTTGGTCTGGACACAAAGCAGTCCACCACATTGGGACATGGCTCCCTTTCGCACTTAAACAACGGTCTGAGTCGATGTCCATAGAGAAGGTACTGGCCTGTCATGAAACTTAACTCCACTAATGTCCTGGTAACAATATGTGCCACGTACGTACAGAGCAGCGACCCTCTCAGCGGCGCTTTGTTGAGTTTGCTTTGCTCCAGTTGTCTCATTTCTTTCTCAATCCTCCTTCGAACTTCCACCAATTCACCATCTACGGCTTCTAACTCTCTCTTCAAAGCCACTTTCTTGCAATGCCGCTCTTTTTCCAGTGCTCGAAGCTGATAAATAGCATGGCCCATGTAAACCAGCGACGGTGAAGACACAAAGATGACCTGGAGGACCCAGTAGCGGATCAGGGAGATGGGAAAGGCCTCGTCGTAGCAGACGTTCCGACATCCAGGCTGGTCAGTGTTGCAAACAAAGTCAGACTGCTCATCGTTCCACACGTCCTCAGCGGCGACTCCCAACACCAGCATTCGGAAAATGAACAGGATGGTCAGCCAGATCTTTCCCACCATCGTGGAGTGGATATGGACCTCCTCCAGAATCCCCCCGAGGAAGTTCCAGTCCCCCATGGTTCACTTTAGATCGGCAGCTCTGTAAAGAACATGACATTCAGCACAATGATTTAGGATAACAGTCAAACTATGGTTATAGGAGTTAGGCAAGTTACTCAAATGATAACAATGTTTTACATTACAGACTTTAAAATGTAACTTTCTGTCAACACAAAGAACCGTGGTCAGATCTGTCAAAGTTCACAAACAAATTTATGAAAAAATTTCAGTCATTCAACTGTACAGGAATCTCTTATTTGTACACATTCACCATTCTCGCTGTGGGAATACAAAATTGAAGCAGACGTGTGATACAAAGGTCTGATGGAAAATATAGGCTTTTATAAAATGTGTGGATGAGACTCGAGTCAAACCACTTCAAACTCTGGAAATTGGCAACAAAACCTTAGCACTCAACACTTTAAAGGAAAAGGTATTAAATCCATGAGTAATGAACGTTGACGCTCACCGTTCATCAGAAACTGTGGCCTCCTCCATTGACGTCGTGTCCCTCCATGTCCCGGTCTCAGCCACACGTGTGTTTAAAGTGTAATGTCCTTGTTTTTAGCAGCCGCTGGTTCAGAGGCGAGGCTGAGCTGGAGTCGATATTGTTGCGCGTTTGTGGGACGTTCTGTCATTAACACGTTTCAATATTGGACAGACTCTGACCTGAACCCACCAAGGTCTTCATCATGTTTGTAAAATATATTCACTTAATTTTGTAAACAAATGTAAGTTATGTTCAGCTGTAAGTTTAGAGACCATTAAGATAGATATTAAACTACCACATTGTGACTGCTGGAGCAACATATGTAACACAGTTAAGGTCAGTTTGAGGCTTGTGGGTTATTACAGCAAAGACCAAACACTTTAAAATACATGTGACTGGTTTAATACGGTTTTATCAGTGGCTATATCAAACTGACTCGTGTCTTACATTTGTTCTGTATTTATTGACTGGACGTGTCCGATTTCACGCTCTGCCGACGCTGGTCCAGCTCCATGTTCCATTTGCAAAAAGTCAATCAAACTGATACGAGGCTTTTGTTCTCAAACACAAAGAAACATGTGCCTGAAACAGGTTTATTACTCAAAAATAACAGATTTTCTAGTAGATAAGAGGCCAGTACATGCAGGAAGTCGTGGAAACAAACTCATTTATGACAAAAACTTTGAAAAGACCCAATTTTACAGAAAGCAAAATAGCAAATAGCAGCTTTTTCCACGTGTTTAACAATAACATGTCTTTTCCAACTCTTTATTAAAACATTTCTAGCTTCCTTTTACAGAGTTATTCAATTTAGATTCAGAGATTCTTTTGAAACACTTCAAAAACCTCAACATCACAAACTACCGTCGCCTTTGACTTTAAAGAACATGCAAAAGTCTGACTCCTTTTATAAAATACTCAAAATCCAACAGCGTCAGGAAAAACAAGAACAACTAGAATCACAAATGTTTCAAAGGAGACACTGGAGTCAAACTGACAATAGGTTAAAAAATACTGATTTTCTTTAGAAATGATGCATAGTTTGAGGAAACCAGGGCCTAAATAAAGGAGTGGGAAAAACACTGAACAAACTGTATAAAAGCAACAGCACTGATCATAAAACGTGACAAGCTTTTTACAAATGACGTTACACTCATGTCAAACGCAGCTCCAGCCTTAGCGGCCTCCAGACTTCCTCCCGGCCCAGGACCGGGACCGGGACCGAGACCGAGAGGCGGAGCGTGAGCGCGAGTATTTACGGCGCGGCTGCTCCTCAAAGTGAGCGGCGGCCGGAGCGTCCTCTCGTGGTGTGGGCGAGCGAGAGCGAGAGCGAGCCCTGGACTCACGGCGAGGCCTCGGTTTGTACCTGACGACAGGAGCCACATCAATGATTCTGTTCAGGAAAAGAGACGCACGTGTTGGACTAAAGTGCTCCTCACCCGCCTTCCTCAGGACTCCGGCTTCGGCGTCGTCGGTGAGATCTGAATAAAAAACATTATTTCATCACCTCAGCACCAAACACTAAGACACAGCGGCTCACGTAAAGAGGAGCATTAACTTTAGTCAGTGCTCCACACACACGATTAAAACCTCTCGTCTGAAAATAATATAAAACTGAAGGTGCAGAAGAAATGCAGTGCACAGAATATAATGAGGAGAGAGCGGACGTACAGTCTGGTTGGTACAGGCGTCAAACAGATTCCAGAAAGGGCAGGAGCGGCCGCAAGTTTTGGTTCCAACCTGGAACTAAAGCACCCGAGGAAAGTGCTCCTGCTTGGGTTGGAATGAAAACCTGCAGCCGCAGCTGCCCTCTGAAGGCTGTGGCAGCCCAGGTCTAGCTGACAGAGTAAGGGCCGAGGCCAGAGGGGCCTGTGGTATGTACACTTGACACTCACTCTCGGGGGCTGCCGGAGCGGCGGCGGCGCCGGTCGTACGAGGGGCTGCGTGAGCGATAACGCTCATAGCTGCGGCTGCGTGAGCGGCGGCGGCGCCCGTCTCTGTCGTAGTCGTCGTATCGAGAGGAGCGTCCGTCTGGGGAATGCTGCTCCTTTGTCTTCATCTGGTTTGGAGCTGGACATGGAGCAGGACATGGAGCAGTCAGTGACAGATACATCATGTGCTAATAAATAAACTCACTCTTTCTGTCTCCTTGTGCAAACTGGATCTCGATCTGTCGTCCACAAACCCACTTTCGGTCCAAACTGTGGAGCGCGTCCTCTGCGTCTCGCACGTCCTCGAATGTGCTGCGTAGTTAAGGGTTTACGCACTGGGTGTGGACACTTTACCACTAGAATTGGTTTGTCACAATTACTGCATCACTTTGCTACATTAACTCATGTTAGCAAACACACATTAACAAGTTTGGAATGAAGAAAAAGAACTTCACACTGCTTTCTATTAGATTTTCAAAAATAGCAATCTGTACGAAATAGATTTGAAAAACAAACAAATCAAAACAGCGACGATAGAAAACTGGATTTGATTCAAAGGATAGGGTCTTTGATATTGAGGGAACAGATGATTTTGATGTCAAATAGTTTTTTGAGGATACAAAATACAGACTTGTTACCTTGACTTGGCTTTGACTTCATCTTGGCCTTTAACTCTTTAATGGATTTGCAGAGACTTCCTGCTGCTTTCTCGTCTTAAACCTTTATCCAAGCCTTGTCTCCGAGCCCTTTTTCCTCTTCATGCTTTACTTTCTTTTCTTTGTCTTTCAAACTTTCACCCCCTCTCTTTTGTTCCTTTGGCCTTTGTCTTTACGGCTAATACAGCTAATGGGTCTTTGTAACTCTTTGTGGCCGCTCCACAACTGGACGTTTTTACAATTTCTGAAGCAATAACAGAAAAATAGTACGGTGTTAGACATTTATTCAAGGATGTGCAATGAAAAAAAAACAGACAAAACAGCACACCTGGTGAGAGAGGTATAAGTTAGTGCAAATGGAAACACTCTTTGATAAAGGATATTGAATGTATGCAAATCCTCTGGGCTGACGTGTATAGAAGTCAAGAGGGATGTAGACATCTACTACGGGCCCATAGCGGCCAAACTCACGCCGCAAATCCTCAGGCCTGAACACCGTAAATACAAGTATAACTGAAGAGCCCGAAGGCAACACCTGCTACAGCAGTCTCACAGCAACACACTGTTCACTCTGCTGTACAAGTGTAGAAAGATCACGTCACAAATAAACGCTACGATCATTCAGAGATTGTTCATTATTATAAGTTAAAGCTCATACAGAGGATGTCATTTTATATGCTTCAAATATAGTTTAAATCTATGCACAGATAATAAACTAGTGCAAACCAGAGCAGGATGATGAGACCTTCTAATATCTGGATATTTCGTGCTGCAGGAAGCACATTCTCCCCAAACCCAAAATTATCCTAAATTAACTTACTTTTCCGGATTCAAACTTAAACAGGTAAAAAACAGACACCAAAAATGTACAATTCCCTCTGCCTGAGACGAAATACCAAGATTTTAGTGAGGCGCCGTTGTTGTGTCTGCGCGAGCGTCATGCTAGCTTTAGCATTAGCTTTAGCATTAGCTTTAGCATTAGCTTTAGCATTAGCTTTAGCATTAGCTTTAGCATTAGCTTTAGCCTCCACGTAGACAGCGTTAGCTGCATTAGCATTAGCAGCATTAGCATTGACGCGTGTTTGAGTTTTATATGGATTTAAGATTTAAGAAATACATTATTGCGTTATTTTAAATCTGCACAGGTGGTTTACAGTGCAGCAGATTATCCAGATGTGTTTTCTGTATTAGCATTAGCTGTTGCTAACATGGTTCGGTCACAGATTCGTGGCTTGGCAGAGTTCTGATCATTTGTTTGGGTCATGTGTTCTCACCTGGACTCGTCCGCGATGTTCCTGACGAACAGAGAGGTGTTTGGAGGACGCATAACTCTTAAAACTAAAGACACTTTCAGCAGAAGAATTAGCGTGGAAAATTATCTGCGAAAGAATCCGACACGCATGCGCAGAAAGAAGTCTGCCCGGTCTATAAAGCTTCACTGCCGCCCCCTGCTGGACGGTCCCAGCAGCAGACGGCTAAAACTATGAAGAATTATACTATACTCTAAACACTAATGTTTAACATAAAATAAATATATCCCTGTGCACCTATAGTTAGTAACATTTATACTGCATAATATATTTGACTGTGACTATGTTTTTGTATTTCTGTGCCCGCATGGCTGGTTGTTGTACTTTGTTTAATTAAAAGGTATTCATTATTTAAAAGAAAACAACAACAAAACCCAAGGAACCCCAGACTTCAGCCGTTTCATTTATTCAGCTTCATATTTTGTCACTGCTACTTAAAAAACATAATTAATAATCAAATAATAATAATATGAATGACAGATTATTCAGAATCTTTAATCTCACATTTCAAACATTGAAACATTAAAGGTGTGCAGTTCTTCACACTTAGACACGTTTACTTTTGCTGATGAAGGTCACAGAGCCTGACGTCACTTTCTAGGAAGAACAAATAGAGACATTAATGTTATGTTTGATTAGAGCTGTTTAGTGTAAGTGTAACGAACCTCCACCATGTCCTCTCCCTGAATCTCTCGCACAGACGTGATTTTGTCCGACTCCGTGATCAGCTTCCCATCCTCCTCCCTGACAGTGCACTGGAACAGTGTTAAGTGTTTATTATTATTATATTTATTATGTATCATTGTTATACTTGACTGAACAATAAGGGTAGGGTAGAGTGGGGTAGGGCTGGTGGAAACAGGACTAATTACAAAGTTATTTTTTGTGGTTTGAAAGTTAGGAACCCGAGCTTTAAGTAAATAAATACTTCTTATTTCTCTGCTGTAATGTGTGCAACAATGACACTGAAATTTCCCCACTGTGCGAAGAATAAAGGAATATCTTATTTTTCATTGGAACTAATGGATAAAGTATATATAGTATATTTACTGTATAATATTGGGCTCAAAAAGTATATAATATTAGATTTCACTAACCATAAATCATTATTATCATTATTATTATTATTATTATCATTATTATCATTATCATCGTCATCATTATTATCATTATTCTTATCATATGATTGTTATCATGATCATGACCTTGAACCGGCGTCCGTCCAGTCCGGTGATCTCCGTCTCTTTGCCGATGCTGAAGGCGTTGACCGTGGTGCGGACCGGAGTCTTTATGGTGTAAGTGAAGTCTTTTCCATTTTGTTCGATGATTATTGTGGGTTTGATTTCTCTGCGCATTTTAACAACCATCTCAGGAGCACCTTATGAAAACGACACAAACACAAACCTGATCCTTTTGGCTTCACAGACACTTTATAGTATATATATATATAGTATAAATATATATAGTTAGAGATATCTTTAAAATCAGTAAAAAGGAAAAAGACAGAAATATAAGTCTGTTTAAACTGTAAAATAAAAATGTCCTTTACCGACTGCTTTGAGAAAGTTCTCCAGGTTTTCTTCAGAGTAGACTTTCCAGGTCCCAGAGAAGTCCATGTCTGAGGCTTGAATGTTTGTTCTTTTCCTCATCTGCAGCTGTCGTTAGGTCTGGGACTAAAACTCTGCTGTCGTTAGGTCTGGGACTAAAACTCTGCTGTTGTTAGGTCTGGGACTAAAACTCTGCTGTGGGTAAGTCTGGGACTAGAACTCTCTGTTATTTAAAAGTGGGTGTGGAGGGAGACACTGGTGGATCCTCAGACTTTAGTTTAATTCAGAGGGAAATGAACGAAATATGGATAAAACATGAAGTGACCTGTGATCAGAGCTTTGTTTCTCAGATTCTCTAATAATCATCAACAATTATTATGTAAATAATAAATAAAAATACTCTTCATTTACTCATGCTTAATAATCTTCAAATGCAACAATCCAAAATATATTTTAAAACATGGATAAATTGTGTTTATTAAATACAAATCAAGTTATTTAACACACTCCGACACAGTAAGACAGAGTAAGCGTCATAAAGGTGTTTACATCAATACTGACTAATGAACATCCATCCATTTTCTTCCGCTTCATCCGTTGTCGCGGGGGCAGCAGTCTAAGCAGAGACCCCCAGACTTCTCTCTCACACACTTCTTCCAGCTCGTCCGACCCCAAGGCGTTCCCAGGCCAGCTGAGAGACATAGTCCCTCTGTGTCCTGGGTCTTCCCCGGGACCTCCTCCCGGTGGGACGTGCCCGGAACACCTACCCAGGGAGGCGTCCAGGAGGCATCCGGAACAGATGCCTGAGCCTCTTCCTCTCGACGTGGAGAAGTAGCGGCTCTACTCTGAGCTCCTCCCGTGTGACTGAGCTCCTCACCCTATCTCTAAGGGAGCAGCCACTCTGCGGAGGAAGCTCATTTCGACCGCTTGTATCCGCAATCTTGTTCTTTCGGTCATTACCCTAACCCTAACCCCCCGATCGCCACGCGATGTTGCAGAGACGTGTCAGCCAAGACAGTCCTACAACATCCAGAGACTTTAGATAGTCAGGACGGAGCTCATCCACTCCCGGCGCCTTGCCACCAAGGAGGCTGCCAACCACCTTGGTGACCTCAGCCAGGGAGATTGATGTATCCGCTCCAACATCCTCAGCCTCTGCCTCTGTAACGGAGGACGTGACGGGGGGATTGAGGAGAACCTCGAAGTATTCCTTCCACCGCCCGACAATATCCTCAGTCGAGGTCAGCAGCTCTCCACCCGCACCATACACAGTGTTGGCAAAGAACTGCTTCCCCCTCCTGAGGCGCCGGACGGTTTGCCAGAATCTCTTCGAAGCCGGCCGATAGTCATGCTCCATGGACTCTCCGAACTCCTCCCAGTCCCGGGTTTTTGCCTCTGCAACAGCCCGGGCCGCGGCACGCTTGGCCTGCCGGTACTGGACAGCTGCCTCAGGAGTTCCACGAACCATCATGGCTCGATAGGACTCCTTCTACAGTCTGAAGCTGTCCTCCTCTGGGACCTGGGAGTAGCTCTCCTCCTCTGGGACCTGGGAGAAGCTCTCCCGGAGGTGTGAGTTGAAAGTCCGTCTGACGGAGCTCAGCGAGACGTTCCCAGCAGACCCTCACTCCACGCTTGGGTCTGCCAGGTCTGACCGGCTTCCTCCCCTGCCAGCGGATCCAACTCACGACCAGGTAGTGATCGGTTGACAGCTCCGCCCCTCTCTTTACCCGAGTGTCTGAGACACGCGGCCGAAGGTCAAATGATACGACAACAAAGTGGATCATCGACCTCCAGCTTCAGGTCCTGGCGCCCCCTGGTGGACACCCTTGTGCTGGAACATGTTGGTGATGGACAAACTGTGACTAACACAGAAGTCCAAGGACTGAACACCGCTCGGGTTCAGATCAGGGCCGGTCTTTAGAATGAACAGATTCAGTTTATTTACCATTTGCAGTAAAACCCCATTGGAATATGACGTTCGATGTAGTTGCTTCATGATCCCATGTCTTTTCACTTATCTATCTATGATCTTTGTGATTTGTTCCGTTTCCGTTTAAGTTTTAGTATAACAATTGTCAAATACTGTATATTTAAAAAAATACTTTAGAAGCATTTAATGAAACTACACAGTTAAACTCAATAAACAGACTGTATTTAACATAAGTCACAAATGTAAGTTTTAGTAATTACTCACTAAAAGTTATATTCAGTGGTTTTAGATGTTTTCCCAGCGGCAGGACACAGAGGAACCATCTCTCTCAGGACTCCCCCAGATGAGCCGGAGATGTGTGAGGAGAGGGAGGGCTCCGGCTGTTGCCACGGCAACGGTTGTCAAGAAGAAGACAATGGAGATGGGTTTTTTTATGGACAAATTTCTTAATGACTTTCATGAAAAAAGGGAAATTATTGTCCATAAAACACAGACCAGGATCATGTTCTCAGTGATGTAGAAAAAGGCTTTCACCAAACACTTGTGTTGCGTCCCACAGGTTGAGAACCACTGCTCTGGAGGATGTTTCACCGGCATTGATTTGTTCATTATTGTGTGAGCTTCTTGTCCTCGTGGGTTAGAGTTAAAGTTAATAATAATAATAATAATGCATCAAACTTATTTAGCGCTTTTTGGACACTCAAAGACGCTTTCTGATTGGTTGAGGGAGTGAGTTCCAGAGAGTGGGGGCAGCTGCAGCGAAGGCTCGGTCCCAGAGGGTCTGGTGTTTAGTCCTGAGGGGAGTGAGGAGGTTGGAGTCAGTGGATCTGAGGCGGCAGGAGGGACAGTGATGATGGAGGAGGTCTGTGAGGTAAGAGGGGGCAGGTTCCGCCAGCTCCCGCTGTGCAGCTCGTCACTTTGGCTCTCTTCTCTTTCCGACCCTTTCTCTATTTATTTCTTGTAGATGTGTTTTTTTTATTTTTTTATTTTTGTAGACAAGCGTTTATTTTTGCACTGTGCACACGGGAAGCCTAGCCTTGTGGACTTTCTCACTGGATTAACATGACTTCGGCACTTTTTTCGGAGTCCTCCGCTCACAGAGCCACGAGACCAGCGTGTCCCATTGTTTACACACGGGAGCAGCTTCTCGGACTTAGAGACTCCGCTTTCCGGCACTCAGAGAAGCCGGTGATCCCCTTGGAGATCCGTAGGAGACGCAGGGGCTCCAGAGGAGGCCGAAAGAGAAAGAGGAGACCGTATCTCCCCTCCATCCTCATGGGGAACGTACGGTCCATCTCTAATAAGACTGAGGAGCTGACCGCACTGGTCCGCCATCATAAAGAGTACAGACAATGTGGACTTATGTGTTTCTCTGAGACGTGGCTGTGTGGGAATATACCGGACTCTGTGGTCGCGCTGGAGGGATTTAAACTTGTGCGAGCGGACCTCTGTGCGGAGGCGAGTGGGAAGAGGAAAGGCGGGGGTGTCGCGGTCTACGTGAACGAGCAGTGGTGCATCCCGACGCACGTGCATGTGGTTCAGCGCACATGCACACAGGACCTGGAGCTGCTCGCTGTGAGCATGAGACCCAGGTATCTGCCGCGGGAGTTTTCACACACCGTGGTTCTATGTGCCTACATCCCCCCGTCAGGAGACGGGGCCGCGGCATGTGAGGAGATGCACAGAACTGTGACCCAGATCCAGACCCGCAGTCCCCGCGCTCTGATTCTGATCAGCGGAGACTTTAACCACGCCTCCCTCTCCGCCACTCTCCCGACATTCAAACAGTATGTCACGTGCCCAACTCGTGGCAATAAGACTCTGGACCTACTGTATGTTAATGTCCGGGACGCATACGCCTCCTCCCCCCTCCCCCCTCTCGGACGCTCTGATCACAGCCTGGTCCGTCTGTCTCCGGAATACACACCAGTGGTGAGAAGAAATCCAGCGCAGAAGAGGATTGTAAAAGTGTTGAGCGATGATGTGGATGAGATGCTGAGAGATTGTTTTCAAAACACTGATTGGGAAATGATGTTTGCTCTCATGGTGAGGACATGGAGAGCCTGACACACTGCATTACTGACTATATTCTCTTCTGTGTGGATAACACTGTACCAACTAAGAAGGTGCGGTGTTTTTCTAACAACCACCCATGGGTGACCCCTGAGCTTAAAGCCCTCCTGAACCTCAAGAAAAGGGCTTTCATCTCAGGGGACAGGGAGGAGCAGAAGAGGATCCAGCACGAGCTCCAGTGGAGGATCAGGAGGGCCAAGAAGGACTATGGGAAAAATCTGGAGCAGAAGCTGGCCCAGGGAAACGCCCGCGACGTGTGGAGAGGCCTAAAGAACATCTCCGGCTTTGGACAGAGTGCCAGAGGAACAGCAGATGGAGACCAGCACCGGGCGGACGAATTTAACCAGTACTTCAACCGGTTTGAGTCTCCCCCCTCTCCATCTGCCCCCCCTCCCGCCCCCACCTCTTCACACGTCCCCAGCCCAGTGGACACCGCCCAGTGGACACTGCCTCCGGCTGCCCCGGGCCCTCCTGCCCCCGCATCCCCAGCCCCCACCTCGGACAGTACATCCCAGTCCCCCCCCCTCTCCATCACACCGGACCAGGTGAGGAGTCAGCTCCAGCGCCTGAAGCTGAGGAAATCGCAGGACCGGACGGGATCAGTCCCAGGTTGCTGAGGACCTGTGCAGACCAGCTCTCTGGGGTCCTCAGCTACATGTACAACCTGAGCCTCAGCCTGGAGAAGGTCCCTGTCCTGTGGAAGACCTCCTGTGTGATCCCGGTTCCTAAAACAGCACACGCCAAGGAACCGGCTCACTACAGACCAGACGCACTGACCTCGCACTGACCTCCCACCTGATGAAGACCATGGAGCACTGACCTCCTGATGAAGACCATGGAGCACTGACTCTGATGAAGACCATGGAGCACTGACCTCCCACCTGATAAAGACCATGGAGTGGCTCATCCTCACCCATCTCCGCTCCGTGGTCAGCCCCACCCTGGACCCGCTGCAGTTCGCCTACAGACCCAACATCGGAGTAGAGGACGCCGTCATCTACTTCCTGCAGCGGACGCTCTCCCACCTGGAGCCCGCCGGGAGCGCTGTGAGGGTCATATTTTTCGACTTCTCCAGCGCTTTCAATACCATCAGGCCGGCACTGCTGCGGGGGAAGATGGAGGACGCGGGAGTGGACAGTAGCCTCACTGCATGGACCATCAACTACCTCACTGCATGGACCATCAACTACCTCACTGCATGGACCATCAACTACCTCTCAGACCGACCACAGTACGTGCGGCTGCGCAGCTGTGAGTCTGAGGTGGTCGTCTGCAGCACTGGGGCCCCTCAGGGCACTGTCCTCTCACCGTTTCTCTTCACCATCTACACCTCAGACTTCACACACGACACACACAGCTGTCACCTGCAGAAGTTCTCCGACGACTCCGCCATCGTGGGCTGTGTGTCTGAGGGGAACGAACTGGAATATCGGTCGGTTATCAAGGACTTTGTCGACTGGTGTGAGCGCAACCACTTGTGCTTGAACACCAGTAAGACCAAGGAGATGGTCATCGACTTCAGGAGAAAACCACTTTCCCACACGCTGCTGAACATCCAGGGGGAGGACATTGAGCTGGTGGACAGCTTCAAGTACCTGGGTGTTCACATTAACAATAAACTGGACTGGTCCATAATACAAACGCCCTGCACAAGAAGGGCCAAAGTCGCCTCTTCCTTCTGAGGAGGCTGAGGTCCTTCTGAGGAGAATGAGGTCCTTCTGAGGAGGCTGAGGTCCTTCTGAGGAGGCTGAGGTCCTTCGGAGTGAGCAGGCCTCTGCTCAGGACTTTTTATGACTCTGTGGTAGCTTCTGCCATTTACTACGCTGCCGTGTGCTGGGCCCGGGCAGCACAGAGCGGGACAGAAACAGACTGAACAAGCTGGTCAGGAGGAGGTGAGGGACAGGAGGCCCCTGGACTCTGTGGAGGAGGTGAGGGACAGGAGGCCCCTGGACTCTGTGGAGGAGGTGAGGGACAGGAGGCCCCTGGACTCTGTGGAGGAGGTGAGGGACAGGAGGCTCCTGGACTCTGTGGAGGTGGTGAGGGACAGGAGGCCCCTGGACTCTGTGGAGGAGGTGAGGGACAGGAGGCCCCTGGACTCTGTGGAGGAGGTGAGGGACAGGAGGCCCCTGGACTCTGTGGAGGAGGTGAGGGACAGGAGGCCCCTGGACTCTGTGGAGGTGGTGAGGGACAGGAGGCCCCTGGACTCTGTGGAGGAGGTGAGGGACAGGAGGCCCCTGGACTCTGTGGAGGAGGTGAGGGACAGGACGGTGCTAGCCAAAGCCACCTCCATCATGAACAACACCTCCCACTGCAGGACTGTAGAGGAGCTGAGGAGCTCCTTCAGTGGAAGACTGAGACACCCTCAGTGTAGGAAGGAGCGCTACCGCAGGGCCTTTATCCCCACTGCTGTCAGACTGTACAACAAGTCACTTTAAATGGTCACTGTGTGAAAACCTGCACTACTATTGACACTGTTTCCAATTGACACTTGTCACTTTTGTTGTACATAATTATTGTCACTTTATTGTACATATATCCTGCATGTAACATGTTTGCACATTTCCTCCTTTTGCACAATCTGAGTGTCTCTATCCATGCCAAATGTGACATGTAAATTTCTCCTCTGTGAGATAAATAAAGCAATCTTATCTTATCTTATGGAGGGACTTGTAGGTGAGGAGGAGGAGGACCTTGTATTGGATGCGGTATGGAACAGGTGGCCAGTGAAGTTATTTTTAATCAGTTGAGTAAATATATTGAAGAAAATGGTATACTAACATCATCACAATCTGGATTCAGGCCTAATCATTCAACAACTACAGCACAATTAAAATTTACAAATGATGTTTTTACAGCTTTTGATCATGGGAAACCTACTGGTGCCATTTTCATTGATTTCTCTAAAGCATTTGACACCGTGGACCACTATTTATTATTAGATAAGCTTTACTCAGTGGGATTAGACAGAAATGCACTATTATGGTTTAACTCATATCTACATGGAAGACAGCAATATGTGGCAATACAAAACACTGAATCAAGTTGCACATTCATGGAAAAAGGAGTGCCCCAAGGCTCATCACTGGGTCCACTCCTTTTCTCGTTATATATTAACGAATTGCCCAAAGTGTGCTCTTCCTCAAACGTTCATCTATATGCTGATGATACAGTCATTTATACATCTCAAGACAGCGTCACTCAGATACAAAATATCTTGCAGCTAGAGTTTAATCGTGTTCAAAAATGGCTCAGAGAACATAATCTCATTCTTAATGTGAAAAAATCGTGCACAATGTTGTTCAAGACAAGGTATCAAAAAACCCACCCCCCTACTCTCCATGTTCAGATAACTCCTGATAGAGCTTTAACAAATGTAGACACTTTTAGGTATTTGGGCTTGTGGATTGACCCTGAGCTGACATTTAAGCCACACATTGATTACATTGGAAAAAAAATTAAGCAATGCTTGGGTCAATTATATCGTTCAATAGAATGTTTTACATTTGAAACCAGAAAACGTATCGCTCAACAACTACTTTTGCCAATAATGGACTACTCTGACATCGTTTTCCACAGTTCTAACATAACCACCCTAAAACCTCTAGATTTACTTTATAATGCAGTCTGTAGATTTGTTTTAAGATGTCCTTTCACGACACACCACTGTATTCTTTATGACCAACTGAACTGGCTGCAGGCAAAGGAAAGGAGACTTTACCATTGGTACATTTTTATCTTTAAATGTGTCAATGGTGCTAGTCAATGCCCCCCCTATCTCCAAAAACATCTGGTGAGAGCTACCTCTTCATATGCACTGAGACATCTACAGCATGTCACTTTCATTACTCCCAGAGTACATAAGGAGATTGGGAGACACGCTTTCTGCTACAGAGCCCCTGAGGACTGGAACAATCTCCCAGTTTCGATAAAAACTATTTCCTCACTTACCAGTGTTAAAACTGCTTTAGCTACACACCTTAAGTCGGCATGTGACTGCTTTAAGTAGCGTTCAAGGCATAAATAAATAAAAGTAATAGCTGTACCCAAAGTTACCTAAGGAGTGGATGTGTACAAGGTTTTGAGATGGGCATGGTGTGGAAGAGCAAAATCTTTTTCTTTTTATTTATTTATTTTGTATTATTATTTATTTGTATTATTATTATTGTTATTATTATTATTATTATTATTTTTTTTTTTTTTCTTTCTGTCTTTATGTACTGTATGTGCTTATTGTTTTGTCTGTCTTTGTGGTCATGTATGTAACTTTGTTTTATAACCGGACCCCCTCGAAAAAGAGATGATTCATCTCAAGGGGCCATCCACAATAAATAAATAAATAAATAAATAAGTTGTTTGAGGACAGGGGTGATGTGGTCTCTGGAGCAGGTGTGGGTGAGAAGGCGGGCGGCAGAGTTCTGGATGTATTGTAGTTGTTGAAGATGAGTGGAAGGGAGACCGAAGGAGTCCAGTCTGGAGGTGATGAAGCCATGAACCAGTATTTCAGCAGAGGATCGAGAGGGAAGGGAGGAGGCGAGCGGTGTTATGGAGGTGGAATGGTTAATGTGGGGTCTAAAGGAGAGGGTGGAGTCCATAATAACTCTGAGGTTGCGTACAGAGGAGGAGGGAGTGACTGTGGCCGTCAATGTTGAGGGAGATGTTTTGAGCAGAGGGAAGGAGTGACTTGGGTCTAGTGATGAGTTCCGTTAGAGTTAGAGTTAGCTGAATGTTTGCACCGTAGCCAAACAAACACAGACACTTGTTCATGGAGTTTATTTACAGATCTTAAGGTTACAGTAAAGTTCAGGTTTAACGTCAATAAAATACTTCCTTCAAACCTTTAATGTTAGTATTTCATGCAAAACAGAAAAACACAAAAAGAAAATAATATGGTTTGAATTATTGCATAAAAAACTATTGCATGAAATAAAACATGGATTAAAATCTGGAGCGAAGCTGAAAGAATGTCATGGGACAGAGAACATTCAATTGTTTTAGCCCTGTGTTGATTATGTGTAATCTATGTGTAATCTATGTGTGGATCATGTGTAGATTATGTGTAGTTTGTGTGTAGATTATGTGTAGATTGTGTGTAGATTGTGTGTAGATTATGTGTAGAAACCTGAAAACATTGCAGCTGCTCGTTCAGTCATGCATCAGTCGTTTCTAAAGACTTTAAAGAGTATTTCAGGCACTTACAGAAGCTCAAAGTCTTTTAAAGTCTTTTAAAGTTGCTAGTGTTAAAATGGTCCATTGTAAAACAATAGATTCAAATATTATTGCAGCACATGCTCAAAATGAATAAAAATATCCGTTTACAGTTTGGTTAAATAAATGCAGAGGATTTGAGGAAGACGTTGAAGCAGAAAGAAGACGACTCTGAGGAGACAAGAGACGAGACTTTAATCTGTTATAACAAATAAAACACGTTTATCTTTTATAAATATGTTTATATTTACCTTTAGAGACGTCAGGCTGCACCTGGACTATAATCCAGACTGTTGCAGGTTAATCCAGACTGTTGCAGTATAATCCAGACTGGGATTAGCAGTGAACTTCAGAGGTTGATGTCGATGCTTGACTTTTGTAAATAAGGTTTTTCTTTGGGGACTAAGTTCTGCTCTGCAGAGAAGCTAATAAATATCTATTTCTAATAAGTGACTAATTTCACAAATATATACAGATTCTTTACATCCTAATCTGGGTTATAGTTTATAGTTGGGCACTTCAACATAAGACAATGATAATGATTCCAGTCGTCAGGACATTTCCATATGAGCCACTTCTGAGTAAACTGCTAAATACAACATGAAGAGAAAGCAAAAGTAAAGAAGAAACAGTAAAATAATTAATCTGGTATAAAATAATCTATATCTTTGAAGTACATGCAGAGTAAATGTGATCCATGGTTATAGGCATCTGGTGACAGTCAGTAACGGCGAGTGTAGCTCGGAGAGCCGAAGGAGGCGGAGCTATAGGAGGGAGTCCCGTAGGAGGTGGAGGAGAAGGTGCTGCTGAAGCCGGTCCCGGTGGCGTCGAAGCTTCCTCGCCGAGAACCCGACCTAGATCCAGTCCTAGACCCGGATCTGGAGCCGCTGGCCGACCCGGAGCCGCTGATGCTGTAGGGGCTGTACAGACCTTTACTGGACTGGGACGCGGCCTCCAGCAGCCTCAGCCCGGTGCCCTCTTCGATCATGCTTCTGTCCATGGCGTCCTTGTAGGAGATCTTCAGTTTGGTTTTGGGACAGGTGAGGTATTTTGTATAAGCGCTCACATCTCTGAGCTTTTGTGCTGTACGTGCCTCTAAGGTTCCTTTCCTTAGGGCATCATCCACAGAGACTCTTCCAGTGACATCAGGTTCAATCAAGCCTCCGGTCAGATACTGAACCTCCAGGAACCTCTGACCGGCTTCGTAGTACAGCCAGCCCTTCTTCAATGCTTGGGCAGCAGACATTTGAGTTTTGGTTCTTGGATCTTCAAAACCATTGTAGGCTTTTTGAGCAAGAGTGATGCGGTCAACCATGATTTTGTCCAGTAGTCCTTTATTCACGGCATCTGGGACTGAAAACCTCTCGCCTGTGTTTGGGTCAATGATGCCACCAGTGCAAGCTTGAGCCTCGAGCAACCTTTGTCCACTAATGTTGTCCACTAGATTTCTGTGTATAGCCTCAGTGACAGACACTTTTTCCAGAGTGTCAGTGTCTAATATTCCCGCCACTGGTCCGGTCTCCTCAGTGGGGTCGATCCATGTAGTTGCTGGTGTTTTGATGGAGGGTATTGGACTCATATTGTATGAAGAGGAGGATCCAAAGGATGATGACCGTGATCTGTTTCCACTCATGTTTCCAGAAAGCATGTCAGCAAACTCTGTAATAGACAAGGTGCCACCTCTGTATTGATCCACTGCTGATTTATCAATAAGTCCCTTTGAAATGGCGTCATCAATGTCGTACTGTCTTCCTGAGCGCCTATCGATAATCATGGACTTCACGACTCCATCTGCAGAGGTGAAGGTTATCTCCTCCCATTCGCACTCTTGTTCAGCCAGCTCAATGTAAGTCTGGTGGTCAATCAGGCCCTTCTGATAAGCTTCATACACAGACATCTCTTTGCCTGTCTCTGGATCTACGATGACGACTCGTCTCTTGCGAACAGAGGACTTTGACGAGGTCTTTCTCTCGCGCTTCTTCTCTTTGAGCAACAGAAGTGCCAAGCCAGTTTCAGGGTCGGTCATGCACCTCTCCATGAGCTGAAGATAGGTGAGATTTTCTTCTGTGTTAGGGTCAAAAAAGCCTTTAGTGTCGTCTGACGGATCGGTCAGGATTTCATTCATTTCTTCGTCAAATAGCCCACGCTCATAAGCTGCTTCAACAGGCAAGCGATGACTCTCTTGAGGGTCAATAATACCTCCGGTTGCAATTTGAGCCTCGAGCAAGCGAATACCGTGATCTTTTAGGATTAACCCCTTTTTCATGGCTTGGAAAAGAGAGATGACTTTGCCAGAGTAAGGATCTCTATAACCAGTGACCGCACGTTCAGCTGAGTTCAGTTTGTCTTTGAATTCTGGTCCCACCACTCCCATTTTAACAGCTTCGTTGACGGTAAGTTTAAGATTTTTAATTGGGTCTATCACATAACCAGTTGCAGCCTGGGCCTCCAGGAGCTCAAAGGCAGTACCGGGTCGAATCATGGTCTTCTTCATGGCTTGGTAAATAGACAGACGATCTTTAGTTGACTCAACATAGACGCCGGCGATACAACTTGTCCCTTCAAGGTACTTTTTGAGATCTCTACTAACTTCCTCTACTGTGATAGTTCCTTCTGTTAGTTCATTGTATGTCTTTTGGTCAATGATTTGTGAACGCAGCAACTCTTCAATAGTAATTTGCTTCCTGAGACCCTTGAATAGCAAAGACCGATCAGACAGTGACAACAGACGCATGCCAGTTTCTTTATCAACTCTGCTTCTCTTGAGCAGTTGAGCATAGGATTGTTTTTCATCTGTGGTTGGATCAATAAAACCTTTAATATCACAACTTGGTTCTGATATCCTGTCCAAAGTTTCTTTATTGATATAACCACGTTGCATGGCCACATCATTTGGCAGACGGAAGTAGTATTCTGGATCCACAAATCCACCTGTTGCATATTGAGCTTCCAACAGCCTCAATGCATAGTCCTCTGGGATGAGACCTTTCTTCATCGCTTGGAAAATGGAGATAACTTTTCCGCTGTATGGGTCTTTGTAGCCTGTAACTGCCCTTTCAGCTGATAGGAGTTTGTCATGTAGTTCAGGACCCACTAAACCTTTGCGGACTGCTTCGTCAACAGTCAAAAGTTCATCTTTACTTGGATCTATTATGAATCCAGAGGCTGCCTGCGCTTCAAGTAGATTGAAAGCAACCTCTGGCTTCATCTTGCCAGTTTTCATGGCATGGTAGATACTGATCCTCTTTGGCATATCTGACACAATACCAGCAATGCAACCGGTGCCAAAGAGGTACTGTTTAACTGAAGACATTTCCATGACTTCTCGAATTGTCATTTTCTCCTGCTTCAGAAGGTTGTAAGTGTTCAAGTCAATGATTCTGGCACTGTAAAGCTCCTCTATAGTTATTCTTCTCCTAATAACATCACAGGACATGCCCTGCTCAATCTTCTTCAAATCCTCTCTTTGCTCAATAATTTCAATGATAATGATAAGCATTCTATCTTTAGTGATTTGGCCGAGACGGTACTGCTCCATGAGCCGTTGTTTTTCATTTTCTGGCAGCATGTTTGAATTCATAACTTCCCAAATAGTCATACTTTTACCAGATGCACCTTTTACTGGGACATCAATTTGTGTATTTGCCAAATCAGTTTGCGCTTGCTCTTCTGTAACTTGGTAGGATTTTTCAACAGGTGCTGCTTCTACTTTGGACACTGGCAGGAAACAGAAGCCAGAAGTGGGATCTCTCATGCATTTCTCCAGCAACTGCTTGTAGGTAATGTCTTCATTTGTGTCTGGATTTGTGAAACATTTGACATCACCTGAAGGCTCGTTGAAGGATTTTACCATTTGCTTGCTCAAGTACCCGCGCTTGATTGCCACTTCATTGGGGACACGATGACTGCCGACTGGATCAATGAGACCACCTGTAGAAAACTGTGCTTCCAGAATTGGGAGTGCATGTTCTCGCAAGACGAGCTCCTTCTTCATAGCTTGGAGGAGGGAGATTTTGTTCCCTGTGTAAGGATCTTTATATCCAGTCACTGCTTTTTCAGCCAGCAACAACTTCTCATGAAGTTCTGGTCCAACAACTCCAGCCTTAACGGCCTCATCCACTGTGTATTTCTGACTTTTTACAGGGTCACTAATGAAACCAGTTCCAGCCTGTGCTTCTAGTAGCGCCATTGCTGTCTTTGGTTGCAAAATGTTCTTCTTCATTGCTTGATAAATACTTAACTTTTCTTCTCCCATTGCGACACCATCAATTAGATCAGTTCCTTTGAGACTTTTCTTCACAGCGTCACTCTCACTGACTTGTTTGGGTGTGATTTTACCTTGTTGGAGCTTGTCATATGTGGCTTTGTCAATAATGTTGGAGTCCAGCAGAGAATCAGCCGAAACTGGGGCCCGGAGACCTTCAAATGGAGCCGACGCCCTCTTCTTGTCCTCCCTCTCATCCACCATTGTAACGACAATCGTTATCAACTTTTCAATTGTGACATGTCCCATTCGATATTGTCTGATCAACTCAATCCTCTGCTCTTCTGTGATATACTCAGAGTGAATGATTTCCCAGATTGTCACCTTTCTACCTTTGAACGGCCCAAAGTCAAGCTCCATAGTTTTCTGCATTGCTTCCTTTGCTTTCTCATCAGTTAACGGTTTGTCTTCCTTTGGTTTTGGAGCTTTCTTGGACAATGCGAGCAACGGCAGCCCTGTTTCTTTGTCAGTGACACATTTGCTCATGAGTTGTTGATAGGTAGCATCAGTTTGCGTATTGGGGTCGCAGTAGACTTTTGTTTCTTCACTTTCCATGTTTAGACTCTTGCTAGTTTCTTCATCTAGGTATCCGCGCTTGAACGCGACATCGTGTGAGATACGATAGCTTTTGACTGGGTCTACAATTCCTCCTGTGGCCAGTTGTGCTTCGAGTAGACGAATACCTTGATCTTTCTTAACAAGTCCTTTCCTCATGGCTTCAAAAAGTGAAATCTTTTTCCCAGAATAAGGATCTTGATAGCCACTGACAGCCCTCTCTGCACAAAGCAATCGCTCATGCAACTCGGGTCCAACAAGCCCAGACTTAACAGCCTCATCTACAGGGACTCTTTCGTTTTTAACAGGGTCAATGACAAAGCCAGTAGCAGCCTGAGCTTCCAGGAAGTTTAGAGCAGTTTCTGGAGACAGTAAATCTTTTTTCATTGCTTGATAGAAGGGCATTTTCTCTTTGGTTGGTTCGTTCAGCAACCCGGCAATACTTGGTGTTCCTTGCAATGCCTTTTTCACTTGATCCATTTCAGCGATCTCCTTAACTGTCACTTTACCATTGCTGAGTTTGTTGAAGAGATCTTTGTTGATAACTTTAGAGTCAAGTAATTCATTTGGAGAAACTGTAGATCGCAAACCATTGAAAACATTATCTTTATTCTTCTCCTTGTCATCAATAACAGTGATGACAATTTTTATAATTTTTTCCACGGTTATCTTTCCAGTTTTGTATTGACGAATCAGATCCTTTCTTTGGCCTTCAGTGAAATACTCCGAGTTGATAACCTCCCAGATGGTAACATTTTTCCCTTTGAATCTTCCAAACGGCACATCCAATTTGGACTTACTAAACATATCTTTGGCCTCTGCGTCTGTGAACGTCTGCTCTGTTGCTTTCTCATTTACTGGTAAAATCAACAAACCAGTTTCTGCATCTTTTGTACATTTTTCAAGCAGCTGTTTGTAGGTGAGCTGCTCTTGTGTGCTTGGGTGAATGAAAAGCTTGCAATCATCACTTGGATCCGTGAGTTTCTTGTTGAAGTCTGGATCAAATTGTCCTTGCTTGTATGCCGTCTGAAGTGGCACCCTGTGGCTGTTCACTGGGTCAATGATTCCCCCAGTTGCAAGTTGAACATCCAGATATTTTGTTGCTGGCTCTTTTTCAATCAACCCCTTCTTCATAGCTTCATAAAGAGAGATTTTAGCACCAGTAAATGGATCTCTGAATCCAGTTGCTGCCCTTTCTGCAGACATCATCTTATCATGAAGCTCAGGACCAATCAACTCTTCTTTTACTGCTTCATCGACTGTCAGAAGTCTATTTTTCGCCGGGTCAACCATGAAACCAGTAGCAGCTTGAGCTTCTAGTAGCATTGTAGCTGTGTCAGGTTCAATTTGATTTTGTGTCATGGCTTGGTAGACGCTAATCTTCTCTTTGTTTGGCGTTACAAGAGCACCAATGACATCCTGGCCTTTAAGACAAACCTTGACTTTATCGCTCTTGGAGAGTTCTTGCACTGTTGTTTTGCCCTTTTTCAACTTCTCAAACTCCTTTTTGCTCAGAACGCCAATGTCGTGCAATCTCTCAGCAGGTACCTTCTCTCTTATACCGTCAAAAGCAAGAGGAGAATCCCTGTTTTTCTTCTCACCATCCACATCCACAGATCCATTGAACACTTTCTTGGTTGTTCCCACTGTAGTCACGCTTACAAGCTGCTCCTGTACTTTATCGGCCTGGATCTGGATCTCTTTAGTTCCAGATATGGTTGGTTTTGCAGCAGTTGTAGCTCCCTCCAGGTTCTGAAGTTGTTCTCTGAGCTTCTTGTTTTCAGCTTCCAGAAGCTTCTCATGCTCTAGTCTCTTCTTATCAAGCACTTGCATTTCTTTCTGTTTTTTGCTCATCTCTTCCTCAGCCTCCTTCTGTTTCTTGAGGGCTTCATCTAAAATGGCCTGTAACTTTTTCTGCTCCTCCTCCATCAGCTTCCTCTGCCGTTCTTGTTCGTCTTTGAGAGCTTTGGCCTTTTTCATTTCATCCTCCAGCTCTTTCTCTAGTTTATTCTTGGCTTCCTCCATTGCTTTGTCTTTCTTCAGTAAAATTTCTTTGTCCTGGACAAATGATTTCTGCATAAGAGCTTTCTGCTGCTCCACCTGCTCCTTTTGGGCACTGGCCATCTGCAAAAGTGAGAGAAAGCAAAATTAGGACAAACAAGGAGCATCCCAATCAGTTACATGTTCAAATCTCTTTGGTTTAATGTTACAAAAGTTATTAGCTCGTTCAAACTTGATTGCTGCGACTGTGAACACAAATTAACATTTATCTGGAGTGAATAAATATAAATTTGAATGTTAAAACGTTAAATCATTTAGAAATGTTACAGTATTGTTTGGAATGACATTGAGAAGTAAGCAGGTTTTTTTTAAACATCAACCAGAAATCTGACCAAGTGTTTGAAAACCCCAACAATTTACATCAATGTCAATTCACCAATACTGCATTTATTTAGTTTGTTATGTAATGCACAGCTCTATGTATCCTGTCTTTATCAAAGCAATACCTCTTTGGACTTCCTCTGCAGCTCCTCAGCCTCCTTCTTCAGTTTCTCTCTCTCCTTCTCCACATCTGCAATGGCCTTCTTCAGATCGTCCGCCTCTTTAGTGCTTTGTAATCTTTGTGTCTCCAGTTTTTTTACCACCACCTCAGACGTTTGTTTCTCACTGACTTCGAGCCGGGTTTTCACCTCTTCCGCTTGTTTCTTGAACTTCCTGGCTTCGTCCTCAGCTTTGGCCTGTGCGTCGCTCAACTCCTTCACTTTCTTTTTGAGCTTGTCGGCCTCAGCCGTCATCTCTTCCTGCCTTTTGCGTTCGGCCTCTAGAGACTTCTGGAAGCCTTCGGTTTCCTTGTTTAATATTTGCTGAATCTTATCCTTATCCTCCAATAATTTCTTTGCATTTTCCTGAGCCTGGTTTTTCAGTTTCTGTAACTCCTCTGCCTCAGCTTTCAACTTTGTTGCTTCCTGGATCGCTTCCATTTTCTCTTTTAGCATCTTCTCGGCTAATGCTCTCTGTTCGGCTAAGTCAGCTTCAGCTAACAGTCTTTGCTTAGCGGCCTCCTCGGCTTCCACACTTAACCTAGCCGCCTCTTCTGCTAAACCTTTCATCTTCTCTGCTTCTTCCACAAGTAATTTCTGAGTGCCATCTTTATTTTTTTGCATCAAACGCCTGTTCTCTTCCTCAAATTTAAGTTTGATCTTCAGAAGTTCATCCATTTGCTTCTTTACTTTGGTCAATTCATCAGTAACTTGTGCTTTTTGTTTGACGGCGTCATCCACCTCCTTCTTGAGTCGCTTTAGCTCGTCATCCAGAACTCCTTTCTGCTTGTCAGTTTCCTCCAGTTGTAATTTCACAACAGCTAATTCCTTTTCCACAACTGATTTCTGTTTGAGGGCCTGTTCTGCATCATTTTTATGTTTAGCCATTTCCTTGTCGGCTTGTGCTTTCAGATTCAAAGCATCTGCCTCAGCTTTAGCCCGTTTTGCTGCCTCTTCTTGTGCTTCTTTACGTAATTTCTCTGCATCTTTCTGAGCTTGGGCCTGTTTCGCAGCTTCATCTTCAGCCATTTTCTTTTGCTTCTCTGCTTCCTCTGCTTTCTGCCTTAATAACATGGCCTCCTTCTCTGCCTTCTCCTTTGCTTTCTCTGCATCATTGGCCAGTTTCTTAGCGCTTTCGTAGTTCTTTTGCAGCTTCTCTTGTGCCAAACCATCTTCCTTGTTTTTGCTGAGGACGTTTTGAGCTTTGAGTTCAGCAGCAGCGGATTTCTGAGCAGCGTCTTTTGCCAACGCAGCTTGTTGTTCAGCCTCTTTCTCTGCGTTTTCCCTTTGCTTGTTAGCTTCTTCTGCTTTCTTCTTGAGTCTTTCCACCTCGTCTTGAGCATTTTTACACTGCCTGGCTGCTTCCTCTTCAGCCGCTGTAATTCTCTTCACCTTCTCCTCTGCTTCTTTGCGTTTCTTTTCTTCATCTGCAGCTATTTTTTTCATTTTCTCTGCCTCAGCTTCAGCTTTATTTTTACTCTTTTGGGTTTGATCAGCAGCGGTCTTCAATTTCTTCAGCTCCTTTTCCAAATCTGCTTTCTCTTTGGCTGCCTTTTCGAAGCTGATCTTAATGATATGAATCTCCTCTTCCACGACTTTCTTTTGTTTAAGAGTTTCGTCAACAATAGTTTTCTGTCTCTCCAGCTCTGTGTTGGACGAACTTTGTAAATGTGTTATCTTCTCTTGAATGTCTTGCTTGTGCTGCGCTGCTTGATCTTCCAACAGCTTTCTTTGATAAGCTTCGTCTTCGGCTTTTCTTTTCAACCTTTCATTCTCTGCTTCTTTGGCCTTTAGAGCCACCTCGGCCTCAGTCTTGAATCTGGTCGCATCGTTAATAGCCGCAAGTTTTTCTTTGAGTATTTTTTCGGCCTCAGCTCTTTGTCTTGCGGCCTCTTCTTCTGCCGCTTGTCTTTGCTTCTTGGCCTCCTCCGCCACGGCCCGCAGCCTCGCAGCCTCTTCAGCCAGTTGCTTCATTTTCAGCGCTTCAGTCTCCAATAGCTGCTTACTTTTCTCTGAAGTGGACATCGTTTCTTTTTCAGCTTTGGCTTTCATTTGCAGCAGCGCGTCCATTTCTGCCCTGACTTTGGCCAACTCTTGTTCAAGCAGTTTCCTTTGCTTCTCTGTCTCACACACCTCATTTTTCAGCCTTTGCAGCTCGGTATCCAACAGACCTCTTTGCTGATTTGCATGCTCAAAATCTGCTTTCAGTCGTATGCACTCCTGTTCGGCTGATAATTTCTGCTGAGCGATTTGTTCGGCGAAACCTCGTTGTTTTTCTAGTTCCTTCTCTGCATTTTCCTTTTGTTTGAGAGCAGCTTCTTCAGCTTTGGCCTTTTTCTTTGCATCTCGTTCTGCTTCTGTTTTCTGTCTCTCTGCCTCTTGTTGAGCTTGGCTTTTCTTCTGTGCCTCCTCCTCTGCTTTAAGTCTCAATCTCAAGGCTTCGTTTGCCTTTTGCCGCCACAGCTCCAACTCCTTCTCAGCCTCCTCTCGCGCCCGGTCGGCCTCCTCTTGCTGTTTTCGTAATTTTTCTGCTTCTTCCTGGAGTTGGAGGACTGTGCCTTGCTCCTTCTTCAGCGACTCTTCCAGTTTGGTCGTTTTCTCGCTGAAGTTTGCCGCCTGCAGTTGAGTCACTGCTGATTTCTGAGCGACTTCTTCCACAACTTTGATCTGACGGACCTTCTCCACCTCAGCCTGCTTCATCCTCCTCTCAGCCTCCTCCGCCTGCATTTTGTACTTTTCCAAATCGTCCAAGGCCTTCTGTTTCTGTTTGGCTGCTTCTTTTTCAGCCTCAGATTTCCTCTTGAGTTCATCTTCAGCTTGTTTCTTTTTCTGCGTCTCCTCGTTCACCTGTTTGCGCAGTCGTTCGGCTTCGTCCTGAGCAGCTTTCCTTATTTTCTCTGCGTCTGATGCTTTGTCTCTGAGTTTGTCCAACTCTCCTTCTGCTACAGTCTTTTGTTTTATAGTCGTCTCCAGTTGAATCCTAATCAAATGAATCTCTTCTTCGACCTTTCTGCGTGTTATCAGAGCCTCTTCCAGCTGCTGGTTCTTGGACTTGATTTCCTGATCGGACAGACTCTTTAGCTGCTGCAGTTCTTGTTGAATGTTTTGTTTTTGCTTTTCAGAGTCCACTGCCACGTCTTGTCTCTTACTAGCATCAGTTTTCATTTGAGACTTTAACTGTTGTGCCTCTTCTTCTGCTTTAGCAACAGATTTGGCCTGAGCCTCAGCGATTTGTTTTTGTTTGTCTAATTCAGCCTGCATCTCTGCCATCTTCCTCCTCTCCTCCTCCTTTAACTTTTCTGATGCTTTCTGTATTAGTAAAAGCAAAAGGAGTAAAAGAAACAGAGAAGTTAGGGGTTAAAATATTAATTAAAAAGTATTTTTTACTTTAACATGTAGCTACATAATATGTAAATACATGACTATGTTACAGCAGAGGAGTTACGGCAAATACAGCTTTGTATGGGAAATATCTGTAGTGTACATTATCTATATGTAACAAACAAAAACTAAAGCTTAGGCTTATGAACAATTACGATGCATACTGTATGTAAAGTCATGTCTGATTATGTTAAAATGATTGTATTGAGGTTTTGCAAAGGTAGAGCTAAATGACATTTATTACATTTAGAAAACTTTTAAGCCTAAGAGTTTCCCATACACTAAAAGTTAGCAAGCAAGAATTGTTTACAAGCTGTTGTTCAATTAGTGAGTGTAATTACCTCCTCTTCCTCCAGGCGGCGCTGTGTCTCTGTGATGAACTTAATGTACTGAGTGGTCAGAGTCAACAACTCGCTGTATCGTGTTCTCAGATTCACGTACTGAAAGAGAATAAGCAGGTGATCATATATACAGTATATAGTTTATATATACAGTGTATCTATATGTGTGTATATATATATATATTAGGGCTGTCAAAATTATCGCGTTAATTCACGTTAATTACCGTTAATTATTTAACGCACGTTAATGCGTTAAATATTTAACGCATTAACTGCCATTGACGTGTTAACACGTCAATTGTGTTTCCCGCTATTTTCACGTTCCCAGATGTCTGTTGTATCAAATATGTAAGGCCTGAGGCAATATTTTATCGAGCCAGCAGATGGCAGCATTGCTCTATGAATGGTTTGAAAACAGCTAGATGCACAAGTGCCTCTTTTTTCTCAGCTTTCTGGTGATTTCAATAAAAATTACCTCTACTCGACTGGGGATTACAGGGGAACGAAACAAGCTAGAAACAAAATTATTTTTGCTGATGAAAGTAGACAGTCCATTCTCTCAGAATCTGGTTTTGGATTTCAGATAGTCATAGTACACAATATTCTGTGGGTACCTGTTCTGAAATAGTCTGGCAGTCAATCGCATGTCCGAATGACCCGCCCATTTCTAATAATATCACTCAGAATGCCACGGACACGTGCGTGTGTGATGGTGACAGCGGTAACGTGGTCATATAATACACCAGGGACGTGCGGTGAGGTTTGTGATTGGGGAGGCACTGACTTTAAAAGTCAGATTTACAATCATTATTCAAATAAAATAGCATTTAATCACCAATGCAATGACATCCACAAACTTTATATACTGTAAAGATAAGAGAACCAGCTTCTTTTAATAATCTCACAGCAAATCTAGCTGCTGACTCTGCTCCGCATCAAACAACATCTTTAAGAAGCGCAGGTGCGAGAGACGCGAGGAGAGAGAGACGCGAGGAGAGAGGAGCAGAGAGAGACAGAGAGGAGCAGAGAGACGGAGACGCGAGGAGCAGAGAGAGACGGAGACGCGAGGAGAGAGGAGCAGAGAGAGACAGAGAGGAGCAGAGAGACGGAGACGCGAGGAGCAGAGAGAGACGGAGACGCGAGGAGAGAGAGACGCGAGGAGAGAGGAGCAGAGAGAGACAGAGAGGAGCAGAGAGACGGAGACGCGAGGAGCAGAGAGAGACGGAGACGCGAGGAGAGAGAGACGCGAGGAGAGAGGAGCAGAGAGAGACAGAGAGGAGCAGAGAGACGGAGACGCGAGGAGCAGAGAGAGACGGAGACGCGAGGAGAGAGAGACGCGAGGAGAGAGGAGCAGAGAGAGACAGAGAGGAGCAGAGAGACGGAGACGCGAGGAGAGAGAGAGACGGAGACGCGAGGAGAGAGAGACGCGAGGAGAGAGGAGCAGAGAGAGACAGAGAGGAGCAGAGAGACGCGAGGAGAGAGGAGCAGAGAGAGACAGAGAGGAGCAGAGAGACGCGAGGAGAGAGGAGCAGAGAGACGGAGAGGAGCAGAGAGACGGAGACGCGAGGAGAGAGAGACGCGAGGAGAGAGGAGCAGAGAGAGACAGAGAGGAGCAGAGAGACGGAGACGCGAGGAGCAGAGAGAGACGGAGACGCGAGGAGAGAGAGACGCGAGGAGAGAGAGACGCGAGGAGAGAGAGACGCGAGGAACATAAACAATAATTTAAACAAGTTGCAGAACTCTTGAGCAGTGTTTGAATCAGTGTTTTTCGGAAAAGCACTACTTTGCCGGTATCTGTCAATGTTCAACATAAAACACAGATTAACAAACTCCTCCCCCGCAGCCGGACTAACCTCGTAAGTCCAGTGGTGGTCTCCCAGTCTATATTCATTCTTTCTTTGTTTGAAAGTCCAATTGAGAAAAAAAATCTTCATTCAAATCATCCATTTTCCAGCAAAAGAAATAGCATTTTGGGCTGATTGTTTGTTAGCAACTCTGGTATGAACTTTATGCTCACTATCACCCCTAGCGGTGAGGCACAGATACCGCCTGCCTCACGCCAAGCTTTTTCCTTGTGTGTTCATCTACGATCAAAAGACTTAAACTAAATATAAATTGTACACACATACGTGCAATACACTACTAAACACTAAGAGGAGTTTAAAAAATGTTTTTAAAGCAGGATATTTGAAACAAACGGTGATATATCAACTGCACGAGCTGAGTGCACTCAGACACACACACACACACTGTGAGGGAGCGGTCTGAGGTGAGGCACGCAGGAGCGCTGCCTCACCTCGTCTCTTTGAATAGGAATAACGGGATTTCGGCGATTTTGACTTCAGAAATGATCAAAACTGATGGGAACCGTGCCGAATATACATTAAAAGCATAGGACAGTGGATATAAATTATATATTTAAACTAAAATAATTATTAGTTTCCAATAATGGCAGGTGAGGCTCTGCCTCCCCTGCCTCCCCTGACTGCACGTCCCTGTAATACACGCATATATATACACGCACATTCTCTGATGTTCTCTGATGATGGAGGAGAGGAGGAGACACGCTGAAATGCAACAAAACTCGCAAAATTAAAGCTGGGGTACCTACATTTTTCCTTTCATTAACAGCTCTTGTTGGTTTTACCCAAAAGTAGAAGGTTGTGAGCAAGTCAAACAGATTCAAGTACATTTGGTATGAATAATAATGTGTCATTACATTTGAAAATCTCATTTAACTTCAATTGGAGTGGATTTGAAATAGAATGTTAAAAATGCGATTAATTGTGAGTTAACTCATCATTACTATGCGATTAATCAACTAAAAAAATTAATCGTTTGACAGCCCTAATATATATATATATATATATATATATATATATATATATATATATATATACATATATATATACATATATATATATATATATATACATATATATATACATATATATATATATATATATACATATATATATACATATATATATACATATATATATATATATACACACATCCATCCATCCATCCATTTTCTACCCTTTAATCCATTTCTGGGTCAGGGGGGTGGCAGTCAGAGATGCCACCCAAGTCTCATAGCACCAGCCCCTCACTGACCCTCTGCAGGTGGTGAGTCCACAGGAGGACGGCTGCTCTCTGAGTGTGAGCATAGCCTTGATCTTTCAGTGGGGGCTTTGGGCAAAGTGGGGTTAAGTGTCTTGCCCAAGGACACAACGACAGCAGTCATCAGTGGGAGTCGGTGGAGAAGGTGCAGAGGTGGGAATTGAACCCACGACCTTCTGGGCCAATGCACATATATATATATATATACACACACATATATATATATATATATATATATATATATAGTTGGTACATTTCTCCATTACCTCCTGAATGATGTTGTCGGAGGAACCCTCCATCTTGGGTTTCTTTAAAGGCGACACCGTGGGGTCCTCCATGGCTTTGTAGGTCAACAGCAGCAGCTCATAATCCTATATAATAAAATATAATATAGATTATATAATATTACAGATATAGAGACATAAACCCTTGTGCTAAACCATAGGATCTGTACCTTCACTGAATCAATGTAAGATTTGGCATTTTTCTGGCAGTCTTCAATCTGGTCCTTGTTTTTGTCAATCTCTTCAAGAAGTTTCTACAAATATAAAAACACAACATTGAGATCCACAAAACTGTAAGAAGTTTAAATCAGTCCTTTTTCAAATTCCCAAATATGAATGGATAATATGCAAATGTTGATCCAACTTGGTTCACATTTAATGAACTGACAAACAAAGTAAACATGTGTAATGGTTGAATTAATTAGGAATAAAATACTTGGAGGAAACCCACTCAGCCACTGTGCTTTTATTAGACGTTTATAATTTATTCATCTGATCCCAGGAAGAAAAGCCAGGATCCACACTAAACTTATCTCCTCTGTCACCTGCTCTTGATACTGCCCCCTACTGGCACAGCCTGGACCTCACCTGCTCTTGATACTGCCCCCTACTGGCACAGCCTGGACCTCACCTGCTCCTGATACTGCCCCCTACTGGCACAGCCTGGACCTCACCTGCTCCTTATACTGCCCCCTACTGGCACAGCCTGGACCTCACCTGCTCTTGATACTGCCCCCTACTGGCCACAGTCTGGACCTCACCTGCTCTTGATACTGCCCCCTACTGGCACAGCCTGGACCTCACCTGCTCTTGATACTGCCCCCTACTGGCACAGCCTGGACCTCACCTGCTCCTGATACTGCCCCCTACTGGCACAGCCTGGACCTCACCTGCGTCTAATACTGCCCCCTACTGGCACAGCCTGGACCTCACCTGCTCTTGATACTGCCCCCTACTGGCACAGCCTGGACCTCACCTGCTCCTGATACTGCCCCCTACTGGCACAGCCTGGACCTCACCTGCTCTTGATACTGCCCCCTACTGGCACAGCCTGGACCTCACCTGCTCTTGATACTGCCCCCTACTGGCACAGCCTGGACCTCACCTGCTCTTGATACTGCCCCCTACTGGCACAGCCTGGACCTCACCTGCTCTTGATACTGCCCCCTACTGGCACAGCCTGGACCTCACCTGCTCTGCTGATACTGCCCCCTACTGGCACAGCCTGGACCTCACCTGCTCCTGATACTGCCCCCTACTGGCACAGCCTGGACCTCACCTGCTCTTGATACTGCCCCCTACTGGCACAGCCTGGACCTCACCTGCTCTTGATACTGCCCCCTACTGGCACAGCCTGGACCTCACCTGCTCTTGATACTGCCCCCTACTGGCACAGCCTGGACCTCACCTGCTCTTGATACTGCCCCCTACTGGCACAGCCTGGACCTCACCTGCTCTTGATACTGCCCCCTACTGGCACAGCCTGGACCTCACCTGCTCCTGATACTGCCCCCTACTGGCACAGCCTGGACCTCACCTGCTCCTGATACTGCCCCCTACTGGCACAGCCTGGACCTCACCTGCTCTTGATACTGCCCCCTACTGGCACAGCCTGGACCTCACCTGCTCCTGATACTGCCCCCTACTGGCACAGCCTGGACCTCACCTGCTCCTGATACTGCCCCCTACTGGCACAGCCTGGACCTCACCTGCTCCTGATACTGCCCCCTACTGGCACAGCCTGGACCTCACCTGCTCCTGATACTGCCCCCTACTGGCACAGCCTGGACCTCACCTGCTCCTGATACTGCCCCCTACTGGCACAGCCTGGACCTCACCTGCTCTTGATACTGCCCCCTACTGGCACAGCCTGGACCTCACCTGCTCCTGATACTGCCCCCTACTGGCACAGCCTGGACCTCACCTGCTCTTGATACTGCCCCCTACTGGCACAGCCTGGACCTCACCTGCTCTTGATACTGCCCCTTACTGGCACAGCCTGGACCTCACTGCTCTGATACTGCCCCTACTGGCACAGCCTGGACCTCACCTGCTCTTGATACTCCCCCCTACTGGCACAGCCTGGACCTCACCTGCTCTTGATACTGCCCCCTACTGGCACAGCCTGGACCTCACCTGCTCTTGATACTGCCCCCTACTGGCACAGCCTGGACCTCACCTGCTCTTGATACTGCCCCCTACTGGCACAGCCTGGACCTCACCTGCTCTTGATACTGCCCCCTACTGGCACAGCCTGGACCTCACCTGCTCTTGATACTGCCCCCTACTGGCACAGCCTGGACCTCACCTGCTCTTGATACTGCCCCCTACTGGCACAGCCTGGACCTCACCTGCTCTTGATACTGCCCCCTACTGGCACAGCCTGGACCTCACCTGCTCTTGATACTGCCCCCTACTGGCACAGCCTGGACCTCACCTGCTCTGATACTGCCCCCCCTACTGGCACAGCCTGGACCTCACCTGCTCTTGATACTGCCCCCTACTGGCACAGCCTGGACCTCACCTGCTCTTGATACTGCCCCCTACTGGCACAGCCTGGACCTCACCTGCTCCTGATACTGCCCCCTACTGGCACAGCCTGGACCTCACCTGCTCTTGATACTGCCCCCTACTGGCACAGCCTGGACCTCACCTGCTCCTGATACTGCCCCCTACTGGCACAGCCTGGACCTCACCTGCTCCTGATACTGCCCCCTACTGGCACAGCCTGGACCTCACCTGCTCTGATACTGCCCCCTACTGGCACACCTGGACCTCACCTGCTCCTGATACTGCCCCCTACTGGCACAGCCTGGACCTCACCTGCTCCTGATACTGCCCCCTACTGGCACAGCCTGGACCTCACCTGCGTCTGATACTGCCCCCTACTGGCACAGCCTGGACCTCACCTGCTCCTGATACTGCCCCCTACTGGCACAGCCTGGACCTCACCTGCTCTGATACTGCCCCCTACTGGCACAGCCTGGACTGCTCACCCTGCTCCTTGATACTGCCCCCTACTGGCACAGCTGGACCTCACCTCTGATACTGCCCCTACTGGCACAGCCTGGACCTCACCTGCTCTGATACTGCCCCCTACTGCACAGCTGGACTCACTGATACTGCCCCCTGGCACGCCTGGACCTCACCTGCTCTTGATACTGCCCCCTACTGGCACAGCCTGGACCTCACCTGCTCTTGATACTGCCCCCTACTGGCACAGCCTGGACCTCACCTGCTCTTGATACTGCCCCCTACTGGCACAGCCTGGACCTCACCTGCTCTTGATACTGCCCCCTACTGGCACAGCCTGGACCTCACCTGCTCTTGATACTGCCCCCTACTGGCACAGCCTGGACCTCACCTGCTCTTGATACTGCCCCCTACTGGCACAGCCTGGACCTCACCTGCTCTGATACTGCCCCTACTGGCACAGCCTGACTCACTGCTTGATACTGCCCCCTACTGGCACAGCCTGGACCTCACCTGCTCTGATACTGCCCCCTACTGGCACAGGCCGCTCTGATACTCCCCTGCAGACCTCACCTGCTCCTGATACTGCCCCCTACTGGCACAGCCTGGACCTCACCTGCTCCTGATACTGCCCCTACTGGCACAGCCTGGACCTCACCTGCTCTGATACTGCCCCCTACTGGCACAGCCTGGACCTCACCTGCTCTGATACTGCCCCCTACTGGCACAGCCTGGACCTCACCTGCTCTTGATACTGCCCCCTACTGGCACAGCCTGGACCTCACCTGCTCCTGATACTGCCCCCTACTGGCACAGCCTGGACCTCACACCTGCTCCTGACTACTGCCACCCTCTGGCACAGCCTGGACCTCACCTGCTCCTGATACTGCCCCCTACTGGCACAGCCTGGACCCCACCTGCTCTTGATACTGCCCCCTACTGGCACAGCCTGGACCTCACCTGCTCTTGATACTGCCCCCTACTGGCACAGCCTGGACCTCACCTGCTCTGATACTGCCCCCTACTGGCACAGCCTGGACCTCACCTGCTCTTGATACTGCCCCCTACTGGCACTGCCTGACCTCACCTGCTCTTGATACTGCCCCCTACTGGCACAGCCTGGACCTCACCTGCTCTGACTGATACTGCCCCCTACTGGCACAGCCTGGACCTCACCTGCTCTTGATACTGCCCCCTACTGGCACAGCCTGGACCTCACCTGCTCTTGAATACTGCCCCCTACTGGCACAGCCTGGACCTCACCTGCTCTCCTGATACTGTCCCCTACTGGCACAGCCTGGACCTCACCTGCTCTTGATACTGCCCCCTACTGGCACAGCCTGGACCTCACCTGCTCCTGATACTGTCCCCTACTGGCACAGCCTGGACCTCACCTGCTCTTGATACTGCCCCCTACTGGCACAGCCTGGACCTCACCTGCTCCTGATACTGCCCCTACTGGCACAGCCTGGACCTCACCTGCTCTTGATACTGCCCCCTACTGGCACAGCCTGGACCTCACCTGCTCTTGATACTGCCCCCTACTGGCACAGCCTGGACCTCACCTGCTCTTGATACTGCCCCCTACTGGCACAGCCTGGACCTCACCTGCTCTTGATACTGCCCCCTACTGGCACAGCCTGGACCTCACCTGCTCTTGATACTGTCCCCTACTGGCACAGCCTGGACCTCACCTGCTCCTGATACTGCCCCCTACTGGCACAGCCTGGACCTCACCTGCTCCTGATACTGTCCCCTACTGGCACAGCCTGGACCTCACCTGCTCTTGATACTGCCCCCTACTGGCACAGCCTGGACCTCACCTGCTCCTGATACTGCCCCCTACTGGCACAGCCTGGACCTCACCTGCTCTTGATACTGCCCCCTACTGGCACAGCCTGGACCTCACCTGCTCTTGATACTGCCCCCTACTGGCACAGCCTGGACCTCACCTGCTCCTGAGTCAGCTGCTGCTTCAGGCTCTTACTGCCCCCTACTGGCACAGCCTGGATCTTGTCTTGAGTGTTCCGAGCCTCCTTCAGCCACAGCATGAGCGCCTCGTAGTTCTGACTGTAGGAGTTCATGTGTCTCCCCAACAGGTCCAGCTCCCGCAGCCTCAGGTCGATCTGAGCGAACACACACTGCCAGCGGTCCAACAGCGCCCCCACCAGGCCGCGGTAGTGCTCCAGCTCTGCGTCCCGCTCGCTGTGGATGCGGCTCATCTTGTCGTTTATGACCGAGGCCTTTTTCAACTGGTCCTGAAGCCGCTCAAACACTTCCTGGTCGGCCTCCGCTTCAGAGCGCATTTTCTGTTAGGTAAAAACGACAACATTAACCCAACAACATCAGAGAATAAAAACATCAGAGAATACGACACATGTTCTCTCATAAACACGCTGAGGTCTTGTCTGCAGGAGTTATGACCATTTCAGTTGTAGGTTCTGGAGGTTTTATCAAATGATCTTAAATGTAAGTGATGTTGGCCAGACCTTGAGCTGACTGCGATGATCGTCCACCTCCTTCTTTGAGGCCGGAACTTTCCCAACTTCCCGAAGGCGAGTCTCGTAGGACTTGAGAGCGTCCTCTGCTTCTTTGGTGTTTCTGATCACAACGTCGATAGTCTTTAACCTGAAAAATAAAAGTGAGAAAAAGTATTGAATTATTAAAAAGCCTCAAGAAACAATGGGCCTCATTCACGAATAACTTCGTAAGAAACTTCTTAAATTTCTTCTCAAGTCGTTCTTCAGTAGATTTCTAAGAAGACCCTACGTGGGATTCATCAACGCGCTCGTAAGCCGCTGAATTGTTTGCAGCTGTTCTCTCAGATTGATGAATGCCAACTCCTCGTAAGTAGAGTGCGCGTGCCCGGTGCTTCATTAGCATAGGTACTTAGCATAGGTAACCGCCCACTAATGCCCATATAAGGGACTGCAGGGCCGTGTGCAGACGCCAGAGGAAACAGCAACAGGCCTAAAGCAAAGAGTTACACGGAGCAAAAGAGTCAACCTTTTTTCTTCTTTAGCCAGACTGAGAATAAAGTTATAAAATGTTGACTTAAAAGTCGAAATATTATGAGAATAAAGTCGAACTAGCTAAATTATGAGATTAATCTCAAAATGTTATGAGATTAATTAAAAAATATATTATGTATTAATTTAAAAATGAATCTCAAAATGTTTTGAGATTAATCTAAAAATATTTTGGACCCTGGGAGGAGATCCAGCGCGGACCAGCGCTGAGACCAATGCAGACCCGAGGAGAGACTGGAGTGACCAGCACACAGAAACCAGCGCGGACCTATAGGAGAGACCGCATAGACTGGAGTGACCTGACTGGAGAGACCGGTGCGCAGAGACCAGCGCGGACCGAAGATAGACCGCATAGACCAGACTTGAGAGACCAGCGCGGACCCGTATGGATCCAGGAGCATGCAGCACGGACCCGTATGGAGAGACCAGTGCAGACCCGTCTAGAGCCATGGGAGGGACCAGTGCAGACCCGTCTAGATCCATGGGAGAGACCAGTACAGACCCGTCTAGATCCATGGGAGAGACCAGTGCAGACCCGTCTAGATCCATGGGAGAGACCAGTGCAGACCCGTCTAGATCCATGGGAGAGACCAGTGCAGACCCGTCTGAGCCATGGGAGAGACCAGTGCAGACCCGTATAGATCCATGGGAGAGACCAGTGCAGACCAGTATAGATCCATAGGAGAGACCAGTGCAGACCCGTATAGATCCATGGGAGAGACCAGTGCAGACCCGTATAGATCCATGGGAGAGACCAGTGCAGACCCGTATAGATCCATGGGAGAGACCAGCGCAGACTCAGCGCGGACCCCGCAACCTCCTGCAGCAGCAGTATATATGCCGTTGTTCTGTGGCCCGTGGATAAAGAAATGCCCCCTATAAATAGGAAGGGGTCACTAATACACGGCAAGATTTCCAATGTATTTGATAAAGCGTTGGCACATTTCATTTCAAAATGAATAAAAAAAATAAGCTAAATTACCATTAACAATTAAATAAATAAATACATACATCAATATGACGGACATATCACTGGAATGTTGTATTTTTATTAAACTTCACCAAAGAGGACAACCCCGGCGTGTGAACATGTCGGCACTGAATGCGTACGAGTGCTCCTGAGGACTCGAAGGATTTGTACTTGCCCAAGAGAAATTCTGGTTACGAGAAAAATTTGTGAATGCCACTTTCTTCGTAAAAACCTCGTAAGTAGGATTTACGTACAAATCTGTTCCTAAGAACCGTTCGTGAATGAGGCCCATTGACATTCTGAAGTTAGAGACTAAATAAACCGATGAGATTTTTTAAACTAAACCTTTTCTATTGATATTTCACTTCCTCCTGGTCTGACCTAGGACTGAAACTGGACTAGAACGGGACTAAACCAAGTCTACGTTTGACTTTATGCTTTGTTAAAACTAGGACTATGAATGAAAAACTAAAACGATTCTTACTTGTCCAGATAGACGGATGAAAGGCCGTAGACGTGGTCCATCTTTTTCAGGGTCAGGTCGAGCTCAGATCTCAGGACGGGACCCGAGCTCAGAGTCTGCGGTGTCGAAAGCATCTCCTCCGTTTTATCAGTGATTAAGTTCAGATCCTTCTTCAGACTTTCCAACTCCGACTGAACCTTCTGCACAGAGAGAAAACCACATGGTATCGTTGAGCCCCGTTCACATAAACATTAGCCCAGAACATTCCCTAGAGCCGTCCCTATGATCTGTCTTTATGCACTTAGGAGCCGTTCAGGGCTGTCATCCGGTCCTCAGGCCAGGTGCGGCTGCAGGTGTTCATTCCAACCAAGCAGGAGCAGACTCCACCCACTTCCTCAGGTGAGTCCAGTCTTAACCTGAAGCCCTGAGGAAATGGGTGAAGTCTGCTCCTGCTTGGTTGGAATGAAAACCTGCAGCCACACCTGCCCTGACTTACATTAACCATAGCTTCTGCTTTATCCGACCCCTGTTTTAATCCGTGTTTTGTGGTTTATATAATTTGTTTCTGTCTTTTCTACTAAAGCTGTTCCTACGAAGACCCGCACCATCTGCTCGGCGGTCTTCAGGGCGCAGGACTTGAGCGGTTCTTTTTCCACCGTTTGCCGCAGTCGGGTCACGGTGCGGTTTTCACATCCCTCCAGTCGAACCCTGAGGTCCTGCAGCCGCGACAGGTACGTCTTACACACGGACTCGTCCTGTTCGCCTGCAGAGGAAGAACTTACAACTTGTTATAACTTTATTATAACTTTATCTTAAAGATGTCACAGCAAACATCAGGAGGATTTGTGTGGTTTAAGTTGAACATTTGAAAGAGCAAAGAGACTGCAAAGACACATGTGAACAAACGTAACGTAGTGTTTGCCCTTTTGTCTAAAGTCGTTTGTTCCTGAGAAAAGACGTCACTATTTTAACAATTTAATAGATTTAAATTAAATAATATGTGTTCATATTACTGTAACTACCTGTGTTTGATTCTCTGATCTGTTGGTGGAGAATCAACAACTTAGTAAAGTCTGAATGATAATGTGGTTAAAGTGGATCAAGGACAGATGTAACATTAGATCACGTGTGTCGTTACAAAGTCAGAAATATCACACAAACTTCAAAGGGTTTTATCAACATCCAATGATTCAGTTATTTTAGTTATAACAGTGAATTTGAGTGAATTAGTTATTTTCAGCTGATTCATGCCCAGCGTCACAGAGCTCACTTCACATAAACATTAGTCTGTGAACATGCTCAAAGAAAAAGTGCAGATTATTAAACTTTGTGGAAAGTTGACGATTGTTTAAAGTCTCACCTGCTTTTGGAGCCTCACACCCTGCAACAACATGAGACATGATACAACTGTGTTTGTGTGTGTGTGTGTGTGTGTGTGTGTCTGTGTGTGTGTGTGTGTTTGCGTGTGTGTGTGTGTGTGTGTGTGTGTTTGTGTGTGTGTGTCTGTTTGTGTGTGTGTGTCTGTGATTGTGTGTCTGTGTGTGTGTGTGTGTGTGTTTGTGTGTGTGTGTCTGTGTTTGTGTGTGTGTGTCTGTGTTTGTGTGTGTGTGTCTGTGTTTGTGTGTGTGTGTCTGTGTTTGTGTGAGTGTGTCTGTGTTTGTGTGAGTTTACAGTTTGGGCCTAAATCCCTGTGAGTAAATAAACATAACAAACATCCACCTGCAGCAGAATGGGTCCCTGTGCTGTACCTTTGCTCAGCAGTGTGTACCTGTGCTCAGCAGAGTGTGTACTTTGCTCAGAGTGTGTACCTGTGCTCAGAGTGTGTACTTTGCTCAGCAGAGTGTGTACCTGTGCTCAGAGTGTGTACTTTGCTCCGCAGATGTGACCAGTAAAGCCTAGTTTATACTCGCGCGGCGCGGAGCTTACGGAGGTGACGTGACGTCACTTGCGCAACGCGTTGGTCACCGCAAGGCCCTTACGTCGCCTGCCGCGCAGCATCGACATTTTCTAACTACGTAAGGGTCGCCGCAAGGAAGCTCCGTTGTGATTGGTCCGTGTGTGTGTTTATTGGAAGGAAGCACGGAGCGGCTGCAGCAGGAGCATGGACGAGGCACTATGGAGCAGAGAGCCTGATATACAGGAGACTGTGGACTATCTAACATATATATAACTTATATATATCATATATATAACTTATATCTAACATATATATAACTTATATCTAACATATATATAACTTATATCTAACATATATACACTCGTAAATCGTTCATGTTTGTCTCAGATATTTACCACTATTATTGTTTTGCTGTTTGTGCTGAAAACTATTTAATAATAACTATGTTTCCAACAGAACTGTGTCTTTATTCACAACATCACAGTTGAAATGATTTATAAAATAATGAATCCATAAAACTATCACATAAACCTACAGTAGAAACACGTGTAATGAGCTCAAACAGCTGTGTTTGTTATTGTTGTTCTGAAGATCTTCAACCATGTGCCTGCTCACCCCTGTTCCATGTCTCTGAGATAGAGTATTATGCACAATTCAGATAGTGATACTTCATCCACCTCAGAAGATATGCTGGATTTAGATCTAGGTTTTCCTCAATTTTCTGTTCAGGAAGCATATGAGTGGATGAACGATATAGATCCGGACAATAATATTCTCAAAGATATTGGTAATAATTGTGCATATTATTCAGACAAAACATTTAGAGACACAATTACAATGGATAACAAGTTATCACTTGTTCACTTCAACAGTCGTAGTCTCTATTGTAATTTTGAAAATATTAAAGACTACTTGTCTCAGTTAAAATCACCCTTTAATATCATTGCAGTCTCAGAGACATGGTTAAATGAGGATAAAGGTACTGACTTTATAATGAGTGGATATGAAATGTTTAGTACGAATAGAGAGCATAAGAAAGGAGGGGGGGTGGCTTTATATGTCGATAAAACCATTGATTGTAAACTTATTGAAAATATGTCATTAACAGTGGAAGAACAATTTGAATGTGTTACTGTGGAGCTAGTGTTGCAAAAAAGGAGAAACATTCTTGTAAGCTGTGTTTACAGAGCCCCTGGATCTGATATCCTTTTATTTAATGACTGGATGGAAAGGCTATTTGCTAGTATAACAAAAAAAGATGTAATTGTGTGCGGCGACTTTAATATAGATTTACTGAATGGAAATAAACACAGAATTACAGAAGATTTTATTGAAACAATGTTCAGTAATAATCTGTATCCACTAATCACATCACCTACAAGAGTAACAGCACACAGTGCAACTTTAATTGATAATATTTTTTCTAATATTATAGATAATAAAATAATTAGTGGGATACTCCTAAATGACATCAGTGATCATTTCCCTGTCTTTATGGTCTATGATGTGAACTACAAAATTATTCAAGAAAATAACTGTTACAGAAGGGTTAAAACAGATCAAGCACTGGAAGCTCTAAAAACAGACTTAGCGTCTCACAACTGGTCATTTATATATGCAGAGTCTGATGTAAACACAGCATATAACTCTTTTATGGATATATTTATTGCACTTTATGACAAAAATTGTCCAGTTAGGAAATGCCGGGAAAAAAAATGAATCAAATACTCCTTGGATAACAAAAGGACTATCAAATGCTTGCAAAAAGAAAAACAATTTACATAAACATTTCCTTAAATTAAGAACTACTGAGGCAGAACTTAAGTACAAAAAATATAAAAATAAACTAACAAGTATCCTGAGAGAATGCAAAAAAGAATATTATGCAAAGTTACTTCAAAGTACGAAGAATAATATTCAGGGTATCTGGAAGGTATTGAATTCTATAATGGGGAGCAATGCGAGTGGCCCTTGTTATCCAGAGTATTTTGTTGAAAATGACAAGGTAATAATGTTGGAAAAGACATTGTAGAAACATTTAATAGGTTTTTTGTGAATATTGGACCCGAGCTAGCAGCGAACATTCCAACGGTCAGTGATACTGTTCATACTTCGCTTGAGAGGAACCCAAATTCTATGTTTCTGACTCCCACTGATGAGAATGAAGTCTTGTTGACCATAAAACAATGTAGCAACAAAACTTCTAAGGATTTCAATGATATAGACATGAAAACAATAAGAGCTGTTGCGGAAGCAATTGTCAAACCACTAACACATATCTGCAACCTGTCCTTTCAATACGGACAAGTTCCCACCCAAATGAAAATAGCCAAGGTAATTCCTCTATTCAAGTCAGGCAATAAACACTGCTTCACAAACTACCGCCCAGTCTCCCTTCTACCCCAGCTTTCAAAAATTCTAGAAAAAATATTTAATTCAAGACTACTACATTTTATGGAAAAAAATAATTTATTATCAAACAGTCAATATGGTTTTAGACAAGGTAGATCAACAACACAAGCTCTAATAGAAATGGTGGAAGAGACTACCAATTGTATAGAAAAAAACAACTTTATTATTGGAATTTTTATTGATTTAAAAAAGGCATTTGACACAATTGATCACCATATTCTTTTAGACAAATTGGGCCACTATGGCATCAGAGGAACGCCACAGAGGTGGTTGGAGAGTTATCTGGGAGACAGGCAGCAGTTTGTGCAGATGGAACAGCACAAATCTTCTCTTTGTAACATCATGTGTGGGGTCCCTCAAGGTTCTATCCTTGGGCCAACACTGTTTTTACTGTATATCAACGACATTTGTAATGTATCCAAAGTCATGAAATTTATATTGTTTGCGGATGACACTACAATCTTATGTTCTGGAGAGGATTTGGAGAAGCTCCTCAATCAAATAACTCAAGAAATGTATACATTAAAAACATGGTTTGATGTAAATAAATTATCACTTAACTTAAAAAAGACAAAACTAATGCTATTTGGAAACAGGACCACAGACACGACGGTACAAATAATCATTAAAGATACAGTCATTGAAAGGGTACCGCAAAATGAGTTTTTAGGAGTAATCATTGATCAAAAACTCTCTTGGAAACCTCATATAAATTATCTGAGATCAAAAGTAGCAAATGTGTTTGGTGTGATGAAGAGATGTAGTCCCATGCTCAATCAAAATGCCTTATTTATTTTGTATCACTCATTCACAATGTCATACTTAAATTATTGTATAGAAATTTGGGGAAATTCTTACAAAACAAATCTATTACCTTTAGTTACGCTACAAAAAAGAGCAATTAGAATTGTTCATAAAGTAAAATATAATGATCACACCAACCCACTGTTTTTTCACTCATTTAATTTAAAATTGTATGATGTGGTAAATTATAGAACAGCTCTTATTATGTACAAAGCATCTACAGATTCTCTTCCTGATCACATCCAGAGTCTTTTCCAAGATCGGGATGCTCATCACTCTTATAATCTGAGAGGGATCAATAAACTATATAAGCCAAAAGTTAGGACAACCCTTAAATCTAACTGCATTTCAGTGAGGGGGGTGACATTGTGGAACAGTCTTCCAGAGGAATTGAAAATATGTAAAAAACTTGTGCAATTTAAAAAAATGTTTAAAAGATATATAATGAATAAGTACCAGGAAGAGATGGGAGATTGATGCTCTCATAGACAGGCACATGCACATGTGTGTGTATGGCCTGGGTATGGGTCAATGTTTAAGATGAGTTACACTTTATACATTTCAAATGTCAAGACTGTAAATGACTTTATTGTAAATATGTGCAATTGTGATGGAGCTACTCCTTTTGAGTACTGTTTTTTGAGTACTATCATTGTGTCTGTTATGTATTGTATGGGGCAAAGGGGTGTATGGTCGGAGTGTTTGGGGCCTGTGTCGTGTTTCTGTTTATTGTGTAGTGTGTGTATTTGGTGTAATGTGGTGTGAGTGGGGGGTTGGAATCGAATAAGCGTAAGCTTCCTCCATACCCTTTTCAAGTCATATGACTGAGAAGTGTAATTGACTGTGTATGTTATTTTTCTTTCTTTACTTGAAATAAATAAACAAACAAACAAACAAACAAGAGGACAAAGTAGCAGCGTAAATGGGACCGCTCCTGTGTGATCGCCCTCATGTGGTTTGTTGTGGGATTACAACATTCTCCTCAAAACTCCGTAAGGGGAACGCGCCAGTATAACATCAATTGTGCTTACGTAGGTCCACCGCAACCGCTAACGTAAGCCACGCCGCGCAGGTATACACTAGGCTTAAGCTGTACCTGTGCTCAGTGTGTGTACCTGTGCTCAGTGTGTGTACCTTGCTCCGCAGATGTGACCAGTAAGCTGTACCTGTGCTCAGTGTGTGTACCTTGCTCCGCAGATGTGACCAGTAAGCTGTACCTGTGCTCAATGTGTGTACCTTGCTCCGCAGATGTGACCAGTAAGCTGTACCTGTGCTCAGTGTGTGTACCTTGCTCCGCAGATGTGACCAGTAAGCTGTACCTGTGCTCAGTGTGTGTACCTTGCTCCGCAGATGTGACCAGTAAGCTGTACCTGTGCTCAGTGTGTGTACCTTGCTCCGCAGATGTGACCAGTAAGCTGTACCTGTGCTCAGTGTGTGTACCTTGCTCCGCAGATGTGACCAGTAAGCTGTACCTGTGCTCAGTGTGTGTACCTTGCTCCGCAGATGTGACCAGTAAGCTGTACCTGTGCTCAATGTGTGTACCTTGCTCCGCAGATGTGACCAGTAAGCTGTACCTGTGCTCAGTGTGTGTACCTTGCTCCGCAGATGTGACCAGTAAGCTGTACCTGTGCTCAGTGTGTGTACCTTGCTCCGCAGATGTGACCAGTAAGCTGTAGTGCTGGTTGGCCTTGTTGTAGTTTCCTTCCACCTGCAGCCGGTCCTCGGCCCCGAACATGTTTGAGTCCTGACTCTCACGGAGGAAATCCTGGTAATGCTGCTCCAGGCTCCTGAGGGCCCCACGGTACTCCTCCACACGCAGGGTCTTAAACTGAGGGGGGAGGAGGGGGGAGGGAGAGGGGGAAGAGGAGGGGGGAGAGAGGAGGAGGGAGAGAGGAGGGGAGAGAGAGGGGGGGGGAGAGAGGGGAGAGAGAGAGAGAGGGGAGGCGAGGGGAAGAGGAGGGGAGAGAGAGGGGGGAGAGAGAGGGGAGGAGGGGGGGAGAGAGAGGGGAGGAGAGAGGAGGGGGGAGAGGAGGGGAGAGAGGAGAGGAGAGAGGAGGGGATAGAGAGGGGGGGGAGAGAGAGGGAGAGAGAGAGAGAGGGGAGGCGAGGGGAAGAGGAGGGGAGAGAGAGAGGGGGGAGAGAGAGGGGAGGAGAGGGGGGAGAGAGAGGGGAGGAGAGAGGAGGGGGGAGAGGAGGGGAGAGAGGAGAGGAGAGAGAGAGGGGGAGAGAGAGAGGAGAGAGAGAGGGGAGAGAGGAGGGGGAGAGAGGGGGGAGAGGGGAGAGGAGGAGGAGGGAGAGAGAGGGGGAGGGGAGAAGAGAGAGGGGAGGAGAGAGAGGGGGAGAGAGGGGAGGAGGAGAGAGAGGGGAGAGAGGAGAGAGGGGGGGAGAGAGAGGGGAGAGGAGAGAGGAGGGAGAAAGAGGGGAGAGAGGGGGGGGGAGAGGAGGGGGAGAGAGAGAGGAGAGGGGAGAGAGAGGAGGGAGAGGGGGGGAGAGAGATTGGAGGAGGGAGGGGGGAGGGAGAGAGGAGGGGAGAGAGAGAGGGGGGAGAGGGGGTGAGGAGAGAGGAGGGGAGGAGAGAGGGGAGGGAGGGGGAGAGGAGGGGAGAGAGAGGGGAGAGGGGAGAGAAAGAGGGGGGAGATAGAGGGGAGAGGAGGGAGAGAGGGGAGGAGGGAGGAGAGAGGAGAGTCTACACAGGAACTGACTTCACTAAACTCTGAGAAAACTCCAAAGTAAAACAGATAATTTAATATCGTGATACTTTTAATCTAATGTATTGATTTAATTGTGTGCGGAAAATATATCGCGATACTGAACAGAATCGATTTTTGCGAAGGCCACGAAGACTTTTGTGAGGGGGAGGGGTCAAGCACCTATCGCCTCCACTCCCAGGCTCCTATCGCCTCCTCTCCCTGGCTCCTATCGCCTCCTCTCCCTGGCTCCTATCGCCTCCTCTCCCTGGCTCCTATCGCCTCCTCTCCCTGGCTCCTATCGCCTCCTCTCCCTGGCTCCTATCGCCTCCTCTCCCTGGCTCCTATCGCCTCCTCTTGCCTCCTCTCCCTGGCTCCTATCGCCTCCTCTTGCCTCCTCTCCCTGGCGCCTATCGCCTCCTCCTCCCTGGCTCCTATCGCCTCCTCTTGCCTCCTCTCCCTGGCTCCTATCGCCTCCTCTCCCTGGGTCCTATCGCCTCCTCTTGCCTCCTCTCCCTGGCTCCTATCGCCTCCTCTTGCCTCCTCTCCCTGGCTCCTATCGCCTCCTCTCCCTGGCTCCTATCGCCACCTATCGCCTCCTCTCCCTGGCTCCTATCGCCTCCTCTCCCTGGCCCCTATCGCCTCCTCTCCCTGGCTCCTATCGCCTCCTCTCCCTGGTTCCTATCGCCTCCTCTCCCTGGCTCCTATCGCCTCCTCTTGCCTCCTCTCCCTGGCTCCTATCGCCTTCTCTTGCCTCCTCTCCCTGGCTCCTATCGCCTCCTCTCCCTGGCTCCTATCGCCTCCTCTTGCCTCCTCTCCCTGGCTCCTATCGCTTCCTCTCCCTGGCTCCTCTCCCTGGCTCCTCTCCCTGGCTCCTATCGCCTCCTCTCCCTGGCTCCTATCGCCTCCTCTTGCCTCCTCTCCCTGGCTCCTATCTCCTCCTCTTGCCTCCTCTCCCTGGCTCCTATCGCCTCCTCTCCCTGGCTCCTATCTCCTCCTCTTGCCTCCTCTCCCTGGCTCCTATCGCCTCCTCTCCCTGGCTCCTATCACCTCCTCTTGCCTCCTCTCCCTGGCTCCTATCGCCTCCTCTTGCCTCCTCTCCCTGGCTCCTATCGCCTCCTCTCCCTGGCTCCTATCGCCTCCTCTCCCTGGCTCCTATCGCCTCCTCTCCCTGGCTCCTATCGCCTCCTCTCCCCGGCTCCTATCGCCTCCTCTCCCCGGCTCCTATCGCATCCTCTCCCCGGCTCCTATCGCCTCCTCTCCCCGGCTCCTATCGCCTCCTCTCCCTGGCTCCTATCGCCTCCTCTCCCTGGCTCCTATCGCCTCCTCTCCCTGGCTCCTATCGCCTCCTCTTGCCTCCTCTCCCTGGCTCCTATCGCCTCCTCTTGCCTCCTCTCCCTGGCTCCTATCGCCTCCTCTCCCTGGCTCCTATCGCCTCCTCTTGCCTCCTCTCCCTGGCTCCTATCGCCTCCTCTCCCTGGGTCCTATCTCCTCCTCTTGCCTCCTCTCCCTGGCTCCTATCGCCTCCTCTTGCCTCCTCTCCCTGGCTCCTATCGCCTCCTCTCCCTGGCTCCTATCGCCACCTATCGCCTCCTCTCCCTGGCTCCTATCGCCTCCTCTCCCTGGCCCCTATCGCCTCCTCTCCCTGGCTCCTATCGCCTCCTCTCCCTGGTTCCTATCGCCTCCTCTCCCTGGCTCCTATCGCCTCCTCTTGCCTCCTCTCCCTGGCTCCTATTGCCTTCTCTTGCCTCCTCTCCCTGGCTCCTATCGCCTCCTCTCCCTGGCTCCTATCGCCTCCTCTTGCCTCCTCTCCCTGGCTCCTATCGCATCCTCTCCCTGGCTCCTCTCCCTGGCTCCTCTCCCTGGCTCCTATCGCCTCCTCTCCCTGGCTCCTATCGCCTCCTCTTGCCTCCTCTCCCTGGCTCCTATCTCCTCCTCTTGCCTCCTCTCCCTGGCTCCTATCGCCTCCTCTCCCTGGCTCCTATCACCTCCTCTTGCCTCCTCTCCCTGGCTCCTATCGCCTCCTCTCCCTGGCTCCTATCGCCTCCTCTTGCCTCCTCTCCCTGGCTCCTATCGCCTCCTCTCCCTGGCTCCTATCGCCTCCTCTCCCTGGCTCCTATCGCCTCCTCTTGCCTCCTCTCCCTGGCTCCTATCGCATCCTCTCCCTGGCTCCTCTCCCTGGCTCCTCTCCCTGGCTCCTATCGCCTCCTCTCCCTGGCTCCTATCGCCTCCTCTTGCCTCCTCTCCCTGGCTCCTATCTCCTCCTCTTGCCTCCTCTCCCTGGCTCCTATCGCCTCCTCTCCCTGGCTCTCCTATCACCTCCTCTTGCCTCCTCTCCCTGGCTCCTATCGCCTCCTCTCCCTGGCTCCTATCGCCTCCTCTTGCCTCCTCTCCCTGCTCCTATCGCCTCCTCTCCCTGGCTCCTATCGCCTCCTCTCCCTGGCTCCCTCGCCTCCTCTCCCTGCTCCTCGCCTCCTCTCCCTGGCTCCTATGCCTCCTCTTGCCTCCTCTCCCTGGCTCCTATCTCCTCCTCTTGCCTCCTCTCCCTGGCGCCTATCGCCTCCTCTCCCTGGCTCCTATCACCTCCTCTTGCCTCGTCTCCCTGGTTCCTATCGCCTCTCTCTCCCTGGCTCCTATCGCCTCCTCTTGCCTCCTCTCCCTGGCTCCTATCGCCTCCTCTCCCTGGCTCCTATCGCCTCCTCTCCCTGGCTCCTATCGCCTCCTCTCCCTGGCTCCTATCGCCTCCTCTCCCTGGCTCCTATCGCCTCCTCTCCCCGGCCCCTATCGCCTCCTCTCCCCGGCTCCTATCGCATCCTCTCCCCGGCTCCTATCGCCTCCTCTCCCCGGCTCCTATCGCCTCCTCTCCCCGGCTCCTATCGCCTCCTCTCCCTGGCTCCTATCGCCTCCTCTCCCTGGCTCCTATCGCCTCCTCTCCCTGGCTCCTATCGCCTCCTCTTGCCTCCTCTCCCTGGCTCCTATCGCCTCCTCTTGCCTCCTCTCCCTGGCTCCTATCGCCTCCTCTCCCTGGCTCCTATCGCCTCGCTCCTCTCCTGGCTCCTCTCGCCTCCTCTCCCTCCTATCTCCTCCTCTGCCTCCTCTCTCCCTGCCTCCTCTGCCTCCTCTGCCTCCTCTCCCTGCCTCCTCTGCCTCCTCTCTGCTCCTCTGCCTCCTCTGCCTCTCTCTCCTCTGCCTCCTCTGCCTCCTCTGCTCCTCTGCTCCTCTGCCTCCTCTGCCTCCTCTGCCTCCTCTGCCTCCCTGCTCCTCTGCCTCCTCTGCCTCCTCTGCCTCCTCTGCCTCCTCTGCCTCCTCTCTCCCTGCTCCTCTCGCCTTCTCTCTGCCTCCTCTCCCTGGCTCCTCCTCTGCCTCCTCTCCCTGGCTCCTATCGCTCCTCTGCCTCCTCTCTGGCTCCTATCGCTCCTCCTCTGGCTCCTCTCGCCTGGCTCCTATCGCCTCCTCTCCCTGCTCCTCTCGCCTCCTCTGCCTCCTCTCTCTGGCTCCTCTGCCTCCTCTGCCTCTCTCCCTGCCTCCTCTGCCTCCCTCTGCTCCTCTGCCTCCTCTGCCTCCTCCTGCTCCTCCTCCTGCCTCCTCTGCCTCCTCTGCCTCCTCTGCCTCCTCTGCCTCCTCTGCCTCTCCTCTGCCTCCTCTGCCTCCTCTGCTCCTCTGCCTCCTCTCCTCTGCCTCCTCTGCCTCCTCTGCCTCCTCTGCTCTCCTCTCCCCGGCTCCTCTGCCTCCTCTGCCTCCTCTGCCTCCTCTGCCTCCTCTGCCTCCTCTGCCTCCTCTGCCTCCCTCTGCCTCCTCTGCCTCCTCTGCCTCCTCTGCCTCCTCTGCTCCTCTGCCTCCTCTCGCCTCTGCCTCCTCTGCCTCCTCCTGCTCCTCTGCTCCCTCTCCTCCTCCTCTGCCTCCTGCCTCCTCTGCTCCTCCTCTGCCTCCTCTCTCTGCCTCCTCTGCCTCCTCTCCTCCTCCTCTGCCTCCTCTGCCTCCTCTGCCTCCTCTGCCTCCTCTGCCTCCTCTCCTCTGCTCCTCTGCCTCCTCTCTGCCTCCTCTGCCTCCTCTGCCTCCTCTGCCTCCTCTCTCCTCTGCTCTCCTCTGCCTCCTCTGCCTCCCCTCTCCTCCTCTGCCTCCTGCCTCCTCTGCTCCTCTGCCTCTCCTCTCCTCTGTCTCCTCTGCCTCCTCCTCTGCCTCCTCCTCTGCCTCCTCCTCTGCCTCCTCCTCTGCCTCCTCCTCTGCTCCCTCTCCCTCCTCCTCCTCTGTCTCCTCTGCCTCCTCCTCTGCCTCCTCCTCTGCTCCTCTCCTCCTCCTGCCTCCTCTCTCTGCTCCTCTGCCTCCTCTGCCTCCTCTCCCTCCTCTGCCTCCTCCTCTGCCTCCTCCTCTGCCTCCTCCTCTGCCTCCTCCTCTGCCTCCTCTGCCTCCTCTGCCTCCTCTGCCTCCTCTGCCTCCTCTGCCTCCTCCTCTGCCTCCTCTGCCTCCTCTGCCTCCTCTGCCTCCTCTGCCTCCTCTGCCTCCTCTGTCTCCTCTGCCTCCTCTGCCTCCTCTGCCTCCTCTGCCTCCTCTGCCTCCTCTGCCTCCTCTGTCTCCTCTGCCTCCTCTGCCTCCTCTGCCTCCTCTGCCTCCTCTGTCTCCTCTGTCTCCTCTGCCTCCTCTGCCTCCTCTGCCTCCTCTGCCTCCTCTGCCTCCTCTGTCTCCTCTGCCTCCTCTGCCTCCTCTGCCTCCTCTGCCTCCTCTGCCTCCTCCTCCTCTGCCTCCTCCTCTGCCTCCTCCTCTGCCTCCTCCTCTGCCTCCTCCTCTGCCTCCTCTGCCTCCTCTGCCTCCTCTGTCTCCTCTGCCTCCTCTGCCTCCTCCTCTGCCTCCTCTGCCTCCTCCTCTGCCTCCTCTGCCTCCTCTGCCTCCTCTGCCTCCTCTGCCTCCTCTGCCTCCTCTGCCTCCTCTGTCTCCTCTGCCTCCTCTGCCTCCTCTGCCTCCTCTGTCTCCTCTGCCTCCTCCTCTGCCTCCTCCTCTGCCTCCTCCCTGCCTCCTCTGCCTCCTCTGCCTCCTCTGCCTCCTCTGTCTCCTCTGCCTCCTCTGCCTCCTCTGCCTCCTCTGCCTCCTCTGTCTCCTCTGCCTCCTCTGCCTCCTCTGCCTCCTCTGCCTCCTCTGCCTCCTCTGCCTCCTCTGCCTCCTCCTCTGCCTCCTCCTCTGCCTCCTCCTCTGCCTCCTCCTCTGCCTCCTCCTCTGCCTCCCTGCCTCCTCTGCCTCCTCTGCCTCCTCTGCCTCCTCCTGTCTCCTCTGCCTCCTCTGTCTCCTCTGTCTCCTCTGCCGCCTCCTCCTCTGCCTCCTCCTCTGCCTCCTCTGCCTCCTCTGCCTCCTCTGCCTCCTCTGTCTCCTCTGTCTCCTCTGCCTCCTCTGCCTCCTCTGCCTCCTCTGCCTCCTCTGCCTCCTCTGCCTCCTCTGCCTCCTCTGTCTCCTCTGTCTCCTCTGCCTCCTCCTCTGCCTCCTCCTCTGCCTCCTCTCCTCCTCCTGTCCTCCTCTGCCTCCTCTGCCTCCTCCTCTGCCTCCTCCTCTGCCTCCTCCTCTGCCTCCTCCTCTGCCTCCTCCTCTGCCTCCTCCTCTGTCTCCTCTGCCTCCTCTGCCTCCTCTGTCTCCTCTGCCTCCTCCTCTGCCTCCTCCTCTGCCTCCTCCTCTGCCTCCTCTGCCTCCTCTGCCTCCTCTGCCTCCTCTGCCTCCTCTGCCTCCTCCTCTGCCTCCTCTGCCTCCTCTGCCTCCTCTGCCTCCTCTGCCTCCTCTGCCTCCTCTGTCTCCTCTGTCTCCTCTGCCTCCTCTGCCTCCTCTGCCTCCTCTGCCTCCTCTGCCTCCTCTGTCTCCTCTGCCTCCTCTGCCTCCTCTGCCTCCTCTGCCTCCTCTGTCTCCTCTGTCTCCTCTGCCTCCTCTGCCTCCTCTGCCTCCTCTGCCTCCTCTGCCTCCTCTGTCTCCTCTGCCTCCTCTGCCTCCTCTGCCTCCTCTGCCTCCTCTGCCTCCTCTGCCTCCTCTGCCTCCTCCTCTGCCTCCTCCTCTGCCTCCTCCTCTGCCTCCTCCTCTGCCTCCTCCTCTGCCTCCTCCTCTGTCTCCTCTGCCTCCTCTGCCTCCTCTGTCTCCTCTGCCTCCTCTGCCTCCTCCTCTGCCTCCTCTGCCTCCTCTGCCTCCTCTGCCTCCTCTGCCTCCTCTGCCTCCTCCTCTGCCTCCTCTGCCTCCTCTGCCTCCTCTGCCTCCTCTGCCTCCTCTGCCTCCTCTGCCTCCTCTGCCTCCTCCTCTGCCTCCTCTGCCTCCTCTGCCTCCTCTGCCTCCTCTGCCTCCTCTGCCTCATGGAGGAATATACTAGATCTGAATCAGGGTTATTCCAATTTCACATTCTCATGTATTCTGCTGCTGCTGATACTGCTGCTGCTGATACTGCTGCTGCTGCTACTGCTGCTGCTGCTGCTGCTGCTGATACTGCTGCTGCTGCTGCTGCTGATACTACTGCTGCTGCTGCTGCTGCTGCTGCTGCTGCTACTGCTGCTGCTGCTGCTGCTGCTGCTGCTGCTGCTGCTGCTGCTGCTGCTGCTGCTGCTGCTGCTGCTGCTGCTGCTGCTGCTCCTGCTGCTGCTGCTGCTGCTGCTGCTACTGCTGCTGCTGCTGCTGCTGCTGCTGCTGCTGCTGCTGCTGCTGCTGCTGCTGCTGCTGCTGCTGCTGCTGCTGCTGCTGCTGCTGCTGTCAGGCGATAACATAATGTCGTACTTTGGGAATCGCTGGGCCCCAAAACAATATATATTGTACATTTGGGACATGTGTGTTACTGTGTGTTATTGTGTGTTACTGTGTGTTACTGTGTGTTACTGTGTGTTATTGTGTGTTATTGTGTGTTCTGATGATGTGGAACCAGTTTAATTAAATATGGTTTTATTCTACATCATGTTTCCCTTGTATTAAAACAAACCAACTGTATTTAGATCAGTGTCAAAGTCTGCCACAAACCTGTAGGTCATGTATAAACTAATACTTTTTCTGCCCCACGGCGCTGCTCGCGGTCATTAAGGGTTGGAAAAGTAAATAATTGCACTTCTGTTTACGTAGAAGGATAAGGATTGAAAAATAATTAAATCCCAACCAAAGAAAATAGTGGAAATGTGTTCCTGTGTTCCCCGCGGTGAGAAGCCAACACGGTTCAGACTTATGGACATACAAGATGGCGGATACAAGATGGCGGATACAAGATGGCGGATACAAGATGGCGGATACAAGATGGCGGATTCAAGATGGCGGATTCAAGATGGCGGATACAAGATGGCGGATTCAAGATGGCGGATACAAGATGGCGGATTCAAGATGGCGGATTCAAGATGGCGGATACAAGATGGTGGATTCAAGATGGCGGATTCAAGATGGCGGATACAAGATGGCGGATTCAAGATGGCGGATTCAAGGTGGCGGATTCAAGATGGCGAATTCAAGATGGCGGATACAAGATGGCGGATTCAAGATGGCGGATTCAAGTTGGCGGATTCAAGATGGCGGATACAAGATGGCGGATACAAGATGGCGGATTCAAGATGGCGGATTCAAGTTGGCGGATTCAAGATGGCGGATTCAAGATGGCGGATACAAGATGGCGGATACAAGATGGCGGATACAAGATGGCGGATACAAGATGGCGGATACAAGATGGCGGATACAAGATGGCGGATACAAGATGGCGGATACAAGATGGCGGATTCAAGATGGCGGATTCAAGATGGCGGATACAAGATGGCGGATTCAAGATGGCGGATACAAGATGGCGGATTCAAGATGGCGGATTCAAGATGGCGGATACAAGATGGTGGATTCAAGATGGCGGATTCAAGATGGCGGATACAAGATGGCGGATTCATGGCGGATTCAAGGTGGCGGATTCAAGATGGCGAATTCAAGATGGCGGATACAAGATGGCGGATTCAAGATGGCGGATTCAAGTTGGCGGATTCAAGATGGCGGATACAAGATGGCGGATACAAGATGGCGGATTCAAGATGGCGGATTCAAGATGGCGGATTCAAGATGGCGGATTCAAGATGGCGGATACAAGATGGCGGATACAAGATGGCGGATACAAGATGGCGGATACAAGATGGCGGATACAAGATGGCGGATACAAGATGGCGGATACAAGATGGCGGATTCAAGATGGCGGATACAAGATGGCGGATACAAGATGGCGGATTCAAGATGGCGGATACAAGATGGCGGATAAAACCTGGCATTTCGTTAGAGTGAGCTCTGTCACGCGGGAGGAGCTCGGAGTAGAGCCGCTGTTTCTCCACAGTTGGGTCAAAACAGCTCGTTGGTCTTTAAACACCAGGTCCACAGTGAGTGAAGTATTAACTATGTTCTATAGAATCACACAGACACATCAGCCAAATAACATCCCGGCAATGTATAAATAATACTTCCAGAGAGAATACTTTCAGAGAGAATACTTTCAGAGAGAATACTTTCAGAGAGAATACTTTCAGAGAGAATACTTTCAGAGAGAATACTTTCAGAATACTTTCAGAGAGAATACTTCCAGATACTTTGTCGCGTCAAACACTAAACACTGAAGTTCCACAGACTTTACAGCATTAGTGAAATAAACTTTTTGCAGTGCTTTTCTTGTTGATGTATAATTACTTTATATTTCATGCATCGATCAACGACAATAAGACTTTGTGCTTCCTTTGAGTCTGAACCCTGTGGTATGTCATGGGGTCACATCCCTCTGAGCGCTCGGAGCCGTCCTTTCAATTACACTTTGACTGAATGTCACAAAAGGAAAACGCTGGTTTCATTTCCTCGCTTCAAGCTGCAGACACCAGGACTAAACCATGAGACACCAGGACTAAACCATGAGACACCAGGACTAAACCATGAGGCACCAGGACTAAACCATGAGACACCAGGACTAAACCATGAGACACCAGGACTAAACCATGAGGCACCAGGACTAAACCATGAGGCACCAGGACTAAACCATGAGACACCAGGACTAAACCATGAGACACCAGGACTAAACCATGAGGCACCAGGACTAAACCATGAGACACCAGGACTAAACCATGAGGCACCAGGACTAAACCATGAGACACCAGGACTAAACCATGAGGCACCAGGACTAAACCATGAGACACCAGGACTAAACCATGAGGCACCAGGACTAAACCATGAGACACCAGGACTAAACCATGAGGCACCAGGACTAAACCATGAGGCACCAGGACTAAACCATGAGACACCAGGACTAAACCATGAGGCACCAGGACTAAACCATGAGACACCAGGACTAAACCATGAGGCACCAGGACTAAACCATGAGACACCAGGACTAAACCATGAGGCACCAGGACTAAACCATGAGGCACCAGGACTAAACCATGAGGCACCAGGACTAAACCATGAGGCACCAGGACTAAACCATGAGACACCAGGACTAAACCATGAGACACCAGGACTAAACCATGAGGCACCAGGACTAAACCATGAGACACCAGGACTAAACCATGAGGCACCAGGACTAAACCATGAGGCACCAGGACTAAACCATGAGGCACCAGGACTAAACCATGAGGCACCAGGACTAAACCATGAGGCACCAGGACTAAACCATGAGACACCAGGACTAAACCATGAGGCACCAGGACTAAACCATGAGACACCAGGACTAAACCATGAGGCACCAGGACTAAACCATGAGGCACCAGGACTAAACCATGAGGCACCAGGACTAAACCATGAGGCACCAGGACTAAACCATGAGACACCAGGACTAAACCATGAGGCACCAGGACTAAACCATGAGACACCAGGACTAAACCATGAGACACCAGGACTAAACCATGAGGCACCAGGACTAAACCATGAGGCACCAGGACTAAACCATGAGACACCAGGACTAAACCATGAGGCACCAGGACTAAACCATGAGACACCAGGACTAAACCATGAGGCACCAGGACTAAACCATGAGGCACCAGGACTAAACCATGAGACACCAGGACTAAACCATGAGGCACCAGGACTAAACCATGAGGCACCAGGACTAAACCATGAGACACCAGGACTAAACCATGAGGCACCAGGACTAAACCATGAGGCACCAGGACTAAACCATGAGGCACCAGGACTAAACCATGAGGCACCAGGACTAAACCATGAGGCACCAGGACTAAACCATGAGGCACCAGGACTAAACCATGAGGCACCAGGACTAAACCATGAGGCACCAGGACTAAACCATGAGGCACCAGGACTAAACCATGAGGCACCAGGACTAAACCATGAGGCACCAGGACTAAACCATGAGGCACCAGGACTAAACCATGAGACACCAGGACTAAACCATGAGGCACCAGGACTAAACCATGAGACACCAGGACTAAACCATGAGGCACCAGGACTAAACCATGAGGCACCAGGACTAAACCATGAGACACCAGGACTAAACCATGAGGCACCAGGACTAAACCATGAGACACCAGGACTAAACCATGAGGCACCAGGACTAAACCATGAGGCACCAGGACTAAACCATGAGGCACCAGGACTAAACCATGAGAACCAGGACTAAACCATGAGGCACCAGGACTAAACCAGGCACCAGGACTAAACCATGAGGCACCAGGACTAAACCATGAGGCACCAGGACTAAACCATGAGACACCAGGACTAAACCATGAGGCACCAGGGACTAAAACCATGAGGCACCAGGACTAAACCATGAGACACCAGACTAAAACCATGAGGCACCAGGACTAAACCATGAGGCACCAGGACTAAACCATGAGACACCAGGACTAAACCATGAGGCACCAGGACTAAACCATGAGGCACCAGGACTAAACCATGAGGCACCAGGACTAAACCATGAGGCACCAGGACTAAACCATGAGGCACCAGGACTAAACCATGAGACACCAGGACTAAACCATGAGACACCAGGACTAAACCATGAGACACCAGGACTAAACCATGAGGCACCAGGACTAAACCATGAGACACCAGGACTAAACCATGAGACACCAGGACTAAACCATGAGACACCAGGACTAAACCATGAGGCACCAGGACTAAACCATGAGACACCAGGACTAAACCATGAGGCACCAGGACTAAACCATGAGACACCAGGACTAAACCATGAGACACCAGGACTAAACCATGAGACACCAGGACTAAACCATGAGACACCAGGACTAAACCATGAGACACCAGGACTAAACCATGAGGCACCAGGACTAAACCATGAGGTACCAGGACTAAACCATGAGACACCAGGACTAAACCATGAGACAACAGGACTAAACCACAGCAGTTAGCACAGCGGTTAGCAGAGCGGTTAGCAGAGCGGATCTTTCTCACACCAACGACCTCCTCCTTCTCGTCCTCCTCGTCTCATTTCTGTTCAAACAGGGGTTTAAATTCATTCTTCAAATATTGAATATATTCGCAGTGATTAAGTAAAGTCACAGTCGTCCCATATCACACTTTTTACAGTCATGCTTCAGTGCAGATGTTTGTCCGGATCCTTTTGGACTAACCCTCAATTCCTCTTCCTCTTCTTCCTCTTCCTCTTCCTCTTCTTCCTCCTCCTCCTCCTCCTCCTCTTCCTCTTCTTCCTCTTCCTCCTCCTCCTCCTCCTCTTCCTCTTCCTCTTCTTCCTCTTCTTCCTCCTCCTCCTCCTCCTCCTCTTCCTCCTCCTCCTCTTCTTCCTCTTCTTCCTCCTCCTCCTCCTCCTCTGCTGCAGGTACTTTGTCCTGGACGTGGATCAGGGGCTGCTGCAGTACTTTGTGAATGAACAGGGAAAGAGCCTGAAGCCCCGAGGATCGCTGCCTCTGATTGGTGCATCCGTAACCGTGAGCGACGAGGCCCCGCACATGTTTGTAGTCCACTCTGTGAACGGAGAGCTGTACAAACTCAGAGGTGAGACACTGTTAGAGTTATCCACAACTGTCTGTCTTCTTTAACTGCGCCCCCCCCATCCACGTCACTCCACACACTTCACGCCGTTTACGTTAAGATTCTAATCGTCATAGCAACATAATTCTTGTTTCACCCATTCTTCCCAAATATTATACAACACTCAAACTCCTAATTCCCTCCTCCATGTCACCCATGTCTTCCATTACGTCACCTCCCTTCCTCTTCCACTCCTCCCTCCCTCTCCTCCCCTCTCTCTCCTCTCTTCCTCTCTCCCCTCCTCCTCTCCTCCACCCTCTCTCCTCCCCTCTCCTCTCCCTCCTCTCCCTTCTCTCCCCCTTTCGTCCTCCCCCTTCTTTCATCTCCTTCTCCTCTTTTCCTTCTCTCCTCACTCTCCCCCCTCTCTCCCACTCTCTACTCCTTTCTTCTCCCCTCTCCTTCCCTCTCTCCTCTCCTCTTCCCTCCCCCTCTTCTCCCCCTACTCGCTCCTCTCCTCTCCCCTCTCTCTCCCCTCTCTCTCTCCCTCTCTCTCTCCTCCCCTCTCTCTCCTCCTCTCTCCCTCTCTCTCTCTCGCTCCCTCTCTCTCCTCTCTCTCCTCCTCCTCCTCTCTCCCTCCTCTCTCTCCTCTCTCTCTCCTCTCTCCTCTCTCCTCTCTCTCCTCTGCTCTCTCCTCTCTCTCCTCCTCCTCTCGTCGCTCCTCTCCACTCTCTCCCTCTCTCTCCTCCTCCCTCTCCTCTCTCTCCTCCTCCACTCCTCCTCTCTCTCCTCTCCCCTCCTCGTGACCCTCCTCCCTCGTCTCTCCCTCTCTCATGTCCTCCTCTCTCTCCTCTCACCTCTCTCTCTCCTCTCCTCCCCTCTCTCTCCTCTCCTCTCTCCTTCTCTCCATCCTCTCTCTTCCTCTCTCTCTCCTCTCTCCTCCTCCTCTCCCTCTCCCTCCCTCTCTCCTCCTCTCTCTCTCCTCTCTCTCTACCTCTCTCCTCTCTCCCTCTCTCCTCTCCTCCTCCTCTCTCTCCCTCCTCTCCCTCTCCTCCTCTCCCTCCTCCTCCTCTCCTCCTCTCTCCTCTCTCCTCTCGCTCCTCTCAAACTCCCTCTCTCTCTCCTCCTCTCCCCTCTCTCTCCCTCCTCTCCCTCTCTTCTCATCTCCTCTCTCTCTCTCTCCCTCTCTCTCCCCTCTCTCTCTCCTCTCTCCTCTCCTCCTCTACTCCCTCTCTCTCTCCTCTCCTCCTCCTCTCTCCGTCTCCTCCTCTCCTCTCTCCTCCTCTCTCTCTCTCTCCTCTCCTCTCTCTCCCTCCTCCTCTCTCCCCTCTCTCTCCTCTCTCCTCTCCTCTCCCTCCTCTCTCCTCCTCTCTCGCTCTCCTCCTCTCTCCTCTCTCTCCTCTCCTCTCCCTCGTCCTCTCCTCCTCTTCTCCTCTTTCCAGCTCTCTCCCCTCGTCGTCCTCCTCTCTCTCCTCTCCTCCTCTCCGCTCTCCCTCCTCTCTCTCCTCCTCCCTCTCTCTATCTCTCCTCTCTCTCCCTCCTCCCTCTCTCTCCCCTCCTCCTCTCTCTCTCTCTCCTCCTCTCCTCTCTCCTCTCTCGCCCTCCTCTCTCCCTCTCTCCTCTTCCTCCAACTCCTCCCTCTCTCCTCTCTCCTCCTCTCTCCTCCTCTCCTCCTCTCCTCTCTCTCCTCCTCTCCCACTCTCTCTCCTCTCTCTCTCCTCATCTCTCTCTCTCCTCTCTCTCCCTCTCTCGCTCCTCTCTCCTCATCCTCTCTCGCTCCTCTCTCTCCTCTCTTCCCCTCCTCTCCTCTCTCCTCCTCTCTCCTCCTCTCCCTCTCTCCTCCTCTCTCACTCACATCCTCCTCTCCCTCCCTCTCTCTCCTCTCTCCCTCCTCTCTCCTCTCACTCTCTCTCCTCTCACTCCTCTCCCTCTCCACCTCTCTCTCTCTCCTCTCACTCCTCTCTCTACCCTCCTCTCCCGATCTCCTCCCCTCCTCTCCTCTCTCTACCTCTCTCCTCCTCACTCCTCTCCTCTCGCTCTCCTCTCTCTCTCCTCCCTCTCTCCTCTCTCCTCTCTCTCCTCCGCTCTCCTCCTCTCTCTCCCTCCTCTCTCACTCTCTCTCTCTCCCTCTCCTCTCTCCTCCTCACCCTCTCCTCTCTCCTCGTCTCCCTCTCCCTCTCTCCTCCTCTCTCTCTCCTCTCTCCTCTCTCCTCGAGCTCTCTCTCTCCCTCTCTCTCCTCTCTCTCTCCTCATACTCTCCTCTCCTCTCCCCTCACCTCTCTCCCTCTCCTCGATCCTCTCCTCTCCTCCCTCCTCTCTCCACTCTCTCCTCTCCTCACTCCTCTCTCGTCCTCTCAAGCACTCTCCTCTCTCTCTCCTCCTCTCCTCTCTCTCTCACTCTCTCCTCTCTCTCTCCTCTCTCTCCTCTCTCCCTCTCTCTCTCTCCTCTCTCTCCTCTCTCTCCTCTCTCTTCTCTCTACTCCTCCTCTCTCCTCTCTCTCCTCCTCTCCTCTCTCTCCTCTCCTCTCTCCCTCTCTCTCTCCCTCTCTCTCCTCTCCTCTCTCCTCTCTCCTCTCCCTCCTCCTCTCTCCTCTCCTCTCCCTCTCTCCTCCTCTCTCTCCTCTCCTCTCTCGACCTCATCTCCTCTCTCCTCTCCCTCTCTCTCTCTCTCCCCTCTCACCGCTCTC